TTGAATATAGACAACATAGCCGGCCTGGTTGAATTACCCCCGTTTTTAGAACTGGGCTAAACAGAAACCAGCCGAAGACCACAAAACCTAGCCTCTACCAGGCACCGCGGATCGCTGGAATAATAGTAGAAATTGGCCGTAAGAAAGGGATAGTATACCAGAGAAGATCCAGGGCCATAGAAGCTCTAATTTGCGACCCACGTCGGCCAATTTCTACTATTTTTCCAGCGATCCGCGGTGCCTGGTAGAGGCTACACCAAACCCCCAGTTCAAAAGCCTGCTACGGAGGCCTGGTAGAGGCTATGTGTAGTTCTGGACGATCCAGGGAAAAGAGGAACAACTAGGCCAGTGTGGTGTAACGTCAGATGTCAACATTCCTGGCAGACAGCTGCGCAGACGGGCGGTTATCACTGGTGCAAACGACCCTGAAATCTGGCCGGTATGATTGATGGGTGAGTGGGCGGGGCTAATATAATGCCCCCCTCCCCACGCCCTGAACGTGGAAGGGGGCGTTTTGGGGTATCACAAGTTTCCTGTATTTACTAACTTCTGCGTGTTTTATTCAAGAGGACAAATTGAATATATTTTATGGACATATTCGCATTGGCATAACTGCACCATTCAATGCCATTCAATGTCATTCAATGTAATTTTTAATGTGTGCCCAGGGATACCTGAAAATCAGATCAACGGATCTGAGGTATGCACTGGTAAAATAATAAACTTGAAACTTGAAACTTGATTCATATGAAACTTAACGGGGACGTTTACTAGAACTTAAAAAAAAATGTATAATGGAAAAATGATATTGTCTAATGATATTTTCTAATAAGCGAAAACCAATGCATTGTTGATGCCATCTTATAACCTATTGCTCAAAGCAGATAGTTTGGGATCTGATTGAAGACGCAGAACTTGAAACAAGAACAACAACAAAAGAAAACAATGCCGTTTGCCACGCCCCTACTTCATCAGCCACTTACAAAATAACTTGTCATATTTTTTGTTTTATTAAATTCTCTCTCAATCATTGTCTAAACAACAGCTGACCACCGATGATGTATTGATGATTCGAAGCTTGAAATAGCACAGTGATTACGTAACAGATTTTCTCTTTTTAGTGGACTGCGGTTACATATCTAAACATGAATGGATACTTACTCGTATTTCACATTTTGATCATGTTACCTCTAGCCTGGGTTTGGAACCCAGGCTATGTTACCTCAAACTATCAACGATAGCGATCTTCCCATGAAAATAATGAAAAAAAGACGTTAACAAAAATTTAACGTAGCTGATATTTTTTGCAGCTGAATGTGTCATTTCTATAGTTGTAGTTCAACATGGTGAAGTATTAAATTGCCAACCCCATCCATAGTATAATCATGTGCGTCTTGTGGGAGTACAAGGGTTAAATAACAGCCAAAACATAAATGACAGCCAAGACGTAAGGCGTACAAAAACAGCAATGGTACAAGGGTTAAATGGCATGTAAACATAAGGTGCACAACAGTGGGAATACAAAGGTTAAATGGCAGCTAAATATAAGGTGTACAGCAGTAGGAGTTCAAGGGTTAAATAGCAGCTAAACATAAGGCGCACAGTTGTAGAAGTGCAAGGGATAAAGAGCAGCTAAACATAAGGCGCACAGTTGTAGAAGTGCAAGGGTTAAATGTCAGCCAAAAACTTAAGGCGTACAGCATTAGGAGTACAAGGGTTAAATGGCAGCCAAAACATGAGGTGTACAACAGTAGGAGTACAAGGGTTAAATGGCAGCCAAAATATGAGGCGGTGGGAGTGTTGTACAAAAACAAGGCCGGACGGTCTGTCCTGAGGGGCGGTACCACACGTACCTCTGGCTTGTCGTAAAATCTGGAGTATTCTAGCACCGCGGGCTATTCCATTCGCCTGTCCGAATATGGGGGGGTCAGAAAACTCTTAAGGGAAAAATTCCTATCCTTTCAAAACACTCATCTGAATATTTGTACACGCCAACCATTTTGTTTACCAACCCAAACAAAGGACAACTTTCATGCAATATTTGTCACAAGTCTCACACAACCTGTTTCAGCAGAAATGTTATTTGGGTCATAAATTTACCCTTCTACGAAGAATTGTATCGTCTGTTACTTAAAAGCTTCCTCGCAGCATGGTGCCCCATAATATATCCAGACTGTGTATCAAGTATCCATCTACCAACATCCATAGTATACAGTAAATTGTAACACTATACTGTACACTTGCAGCCTGGAATACTTTCTACAGAGATATCTATGGAAAAATGAAAACAAAGGATTAATATCGCCAGACGCTCTCATTAGGCTATATTTAGTTGCATATTTAGTTGCAGCATGCATTTGATATCTCCCTTTACACATTAGAAAAAAAATTGAAAATACCATTTTTTTTCTCATGCCATATCTTCGTGTTTGTCCCTTGCCAAAAGTACATGTAGCTAAACTCATCCTAAAAAAATTATAAAATGTGGAAACCAAGGAGATTTTTAAAAACCTCAGAGCTTGCAATGTCAAAACTATGGCCAAGTTCTAAAAAGCTACACACTGCGCATGCTCCCAGTGACGTCAGATTTCGGCCGCCATCTTGATTTTTCGGCCGCCATTTTGTATACCCCCCGCAGAGCGCACTTGGCGCAATAAATCGTCAACAACTTCGTCTGTCACTGAAACAACAATGTGATTATGTCCGTCAGCTGCAGCCTTGTAATGGAATACTCTAGAACAGTGGGGCATTCATTCTTCATTTGACCTTGGCCATCAGGTCTGACCTTGGCTTCAGCCATCTTGTAGATGATGACAAAGTGTCCATTTCCTGCTGTCACAGTCTTATCACCTTGCTTAAGAAATAGATTATTATGTAGATAACATTAATAATCTTATGTTAATTTTTCGAATCCAACCAATTTACCATACGCATTTTCTACGTTAATATGTAAAAAAAGACTGTTTATATAACTAATTTATGAAAATGTTACTATGTTTTCATTTGAGAGTTTTGGTTTTAGGCGGAAACTTGATTTGATCACGTTTTAAGATTTTAAGACATTAGTAGAGAAGCATTACATGTATATGGTACTACATGTACAGACTGTACTTAAAAACTAACGCCACAATTTATAGTTTATTATTGCATATGTTTCAACTTTGATATAGTTTATGATAACATACCACGCAAATTTTGCCTTTGTCTTACATCTTAAAATCGACCTTCTAAGATGTTATTTCATCTCTAAAATTCTTCGAAAATTAGTAGTAAAAAAGTATTTAATGCATATGGTAACGTTAGAACTTCCAAAGCAATGCCTATGATTGCACATCATCGATAGTGTATGATAACATACAATGTAAAACTTTGCCTTTATCTTACATCTTAATTTTACGTCAACATCGATCATCTTTGATGTTATTTCTGTTTTGCAGTGTCTTGAGTGTGAAACGTGAGCCGCGATGTGTAACGCCTGGGGGTATAACGTCCGCGGGGCGTACTGCCTCGGTATCTTCCTGGTTATCCTCGGCATCTTCAGCATCCTGCTGGGCATTATCGGGCTCGGCGCCTGCTACGGGTACTGCGCGCCGATCGTCTGCGTCGTCGGTGCCCCAATATGGAGCGGCGTCTTCGTAAGTCTTTCCTTTAACCCTCTTGCGACTGTAGCCTGAGTGCCAGACCCATAGCACGCTAGACGTCAGTGAGTAACAAGTTTCCTTGGTGGCATGTTGGTCATAGAGCCAAGAAACTGCCCTGTAAAGGCCCTGGAACCCACACCAATAGCACACTAGACCCAGAGTTAGCCAGCGCCGTTAGCCAGCGTGTGGTAAAATATTGTAAGGTGTCCAAAAGTGCAAGATTTGAACATGTGTATTTCCAAAGGGCATGTTGGCCCTGGAGCCGAGGAACTGGTCTGTGTAGGCCCCGAAAACAGTCTGGCACCCAGGCCTACGAGTTTACAGTCCCGTAGAAGTTACGTCTCCATAGCAGCATCCTCTGGCGTCATTTTGATATCGTTTATATTTTGCTGATTGAATATTAGTATCTAATTATGATAAACATATGATAACGTAATTGAAACCAGCTTGACACGATAGCTACTAGAAAATCGGCCTCCACGGATCAGATTCTACCATCAGCTATGTCATATAGCTGTCTTTCAAAAACTGATAGGTCACTAGTTTTTGGTCTATTCTCAATCCTTGGATACAGTGTATTTCAATATACGATTGACCAGAGCAGCAAACGAAATTCAATTATTTTGATAAAAACTGATAACATCGAAAAGAAAAACAATCAGAACGCACTGCCAAATCTATCTGTCATACATTGAACCATCCTGATGCTGATAGTATTTGTTTTCCCTTCAAAGGCCTTTAGTAAATTCCAAAATACATACTTAAAATCCTCCAATACACCGGGGACCACAGTGTCTATTTACCGGACTTATGTCAGGAATTTAGACGTAAATGCTGTCCTCTTTTCACGGGACGACAGTTTATATTAATCAGATAACAGAAGACGGTAAACTGACACGAAATGTGCAGAATGTGTGAAGTAAGATTTGGTATCATAGAGCTGTCCCAATATGTGTTGATGGACTATAAGATGATATGTTCTTACAGGTGTTGTTAGCGGGAATTCTGGCTATACGCAGTGCCTACAACCCTGGGGATGGCTGCTTGGTGAGTTTATTTTCTATCTTCTCCTATTTTTCTCTTGCTTTATATTTTCCGGGGTTATTCATGTTCAACATATTTATGACTTATATATGCGCTTAGAAAGTGTAAGACCACGACCATCGTAAGGCACGCCTTTGTTAGCCCGAATTGACCTAAACATAGTTGGGTCTCAGGCTATATTGTTACATACAACAGCCCAGTGTACTGCATTTGTTGAAATGTCCTAATCTCCAAGCACGGATCTCTCCTGGATTGTCTCTTCGTCTGTGGCATTTTGTATAAACTAGTCCGACCAGGTATGCGAGTGGCCGTCCCGCCTAGTGACCAACAAAAAATAAGCCAGAAAAAAAGCTAGAAAAGGTATCGAAAAACCTCAACAAGGCCCAGAGGAAAGGAAATCTATAAATGTTCACTACACATGTATCTGATAATGTGATATATATTGTATACCAGGTAGGGTTTCTGGAAAAAGCTGGGCGGTCTACCAGGCTCGCCTCCGAACCCCACACCCACCCATTCCTCTAGTTTCGACAGTGACGAGAAAGTCACTGACAAAAAGTAGTGGATGCTTCTTAAAACGTCTAAAAATTTAATTTTCAAACTCAACCAGTGACTGTTTTCATGCGTATTTCATTATCTGGATGCCTGGATACTTACTTGTAAACAATGTAAATATGCATATGATGTCACTCTGTGTCGGTTTTAAAGTCTTGCAGAAGTATATTTAAATGTTGCATTTTTGTATGTAATGAGGACGCAATTCGCGCGACTCAGGCCCGCAAGTTCCTTTCTTACTAAAAACGTATTCTTCTAACCTTCATGGACATATCTCCCACTATATTTAGATCACGTCATTTGTGGTGTTCGCGATCCTTGCGTTCGTGACGACGCTGCTGACGGTATTGGTGGGAATCGCGGAGTCCGGCGTGGTGAACGAGTACTACTTTGACGACGCCTTCATGACAGTGACTGACAGGGTGCCTGTGACGTACACCGTTCCTCCAGTCAGGTAGGGAATACTGATCTGTGATTGGCTAATTAGAGATGACGTAAACTGTTCCACCCTGTGATTGGCTAATTACAGGTGACGTACACCATTCCTCCAGGCAAGTAAGGAATACTGCCCTGTGATTGGGTAATTAGAGATGACGCACACGGCTCCACCCGTCAGGTAGGGAATACTGCCATGTGATTGGCTAATTACAAATTGTGTTCAAATATCCACCCACCACCACCAGTTTACTAGTATTTGTTTCACTGCACATTACTCTGTCCTCCAGGGACGCACGGCAGGCTAACGGGCGGCCTGAGGACGTCACCACCGCCGCACCTATCGCCGTTACCGACGCCGTGATGGGCACCGACAGCGCCGTGACCGAGGCCGCGGCCGAGACCGCCACGTCTGGAGGATGGATCCACGACTTCAAGACCGAGTTCCGCCGCATCTGGCCCTATTACGTAAGTTATTTGCCTGTCACACTAGTTTTTTTTTTCTGATACAATAGAGTTACAGGAAGTGAGGGGGAATGGTGTAACCGCACACTGTAAGGAGGGTAGAACTGTAAATAAGTCTTTTTCTTGGATAATGTTTTAGCTGAATGCAATGTTATAGGTAAGGTTTTTAGTCATTCTTTTGTTGACAAGACAGATTTTCAGCCGTGTTTGGTTCGCTAAAGAAGATACTACCTAGGATCCATGCGGTCATCAGCTGTCCAGATGTTAGGGGTTACAGATGTAGTTGTGTATCTAGGGTCATGCCGTATAGTTTCTGCCGCATATAATTTTCTCGTTCGGGACTAAATGGACACTTTAGAGGTTAGAATACACTCCCTTTGTGTGGGGGTACCCTGCCAATGTGTGTTTATTATGATATAAAAGTCAGGTAAATGACTTTTGACAAGTTTTTTTTTCTCTGATATAATTCCTATCGTTTGCTGTACAGGAGAACCATGCCGCCCTGCTAGCTCTCATCATCATCTCAGCTGTGATTGAAGTCATCCTGACCGCCGTCATCTCCTGCATCGGCTGTGGAGGGATCTGCTCTGGTTACCATGGACACGAGGTAATCTACATACTCCCGTCATGCATCTGTACAGTTTGTCATGGATCCTTCCGCCATATTGGATCTTGTTCTTACGTCAAAATATGGCGGCGGCGGTCACTGTTCTTCAACTAAAAACAAATTGGACTCCAATGAATTTCAAAGTAATTTGCCCCGTCCTCTTTAGCCATCTGACAAAATCGCTAAGGACACATAAGCTTTAAGCATGACATTAGCAAAAGGTCAAAGGTTGCTGGAAGTCGATATCGTCTCCCGTCCCCGTTGGTACGACCTAGCTTTGATGGCCTTCTTTATATTTATACTCCTCAAGCTAAGCTAAAATTTCATGTTTGCATCAGTAATACAGTTGCCACGTGCTATACGTATAATATGTGCATTAATCGGAACACGTAAAGACTTGACAAAACCTCAGCAGCAGTGTTGAAGTCATACACTTTACGCATGACATTAACAAAGGGTCAAAGGTTGCTGGAAGTCGATATCGTCTCCCGTCCCCGTTGGTGGGGCCGTGTGGTGTAGCGGCAGAGTGCGCGACTTGGAACCTAGAGGTCCCGGGTTTGAGTCCTGACATGCCACCGATCTTGTGCCCTTGGGAAAGGCACTTTACACGACTTTCCCCACTTCGCTCAGGTGAAAATGAGTATTGTCCTGTCATGTATTTGTCCCCTGTGTTGGTGGCGGCATTAATATAAGTTGAAAAAGACTTGAGTGTGCCATCACCACGTCTGGTGATTACATGTTGGAATAAAAAAAAAGTCACACACTTGCATATTTCTCTGTCCCACAGGCCCCTGCTATTGTTGTGTACGACGGCACCAAGGCCATGCCTCTCGGACCCGGTCAAAGGGCAGTACAACAACCTGATGGTGGCATCAAGGTTGTCCCCATAGGTCAGTCAGCCGCCAGCGTATGATATCATAATGGCCATGAATTATAGTTATGTTAATATATTATGGTTTTGCTTTTTGTTCTGTAAAATTCGTTTTACTTCAAATTTGCTTTGTTCCTTTACATTTTTCTACATGTTGGCATGGTGTTCACGGTTTGAGACACCGGAGTATAAACGTAAGTTCACGCTGTGGAAAACCAAATCAATTAGATTTAGTGTTGTTATTCGAATTTAATATAGCATTCGGGAATGAACGTACAAGTAGCTTAGTTTGTGTGCTTACAAAAGTAGACTAACGGATTCGAACTCGTTTCGCATTAAAACTTATCTGAGTTTGTGACTAGCTCCTGACTTGCCCCGTTTTCTGACAGACAGCCCATTGACTAGGCCTACTGTCAGAAAACTGTAGAAGTCAGAAAAGTCACAATATTTACATTTAACCTCTACTTGGTCAGTAATTTCCAACACAAAAAATGGTTTTGCCTTGAACTAAACTTTGTCATTTTTTGTAAATCCAAAATGTTTTGTGTCGTATGTTTCAAATTTGCCAAGTTCCAAATTTCTTGCATATTAGTTGGAGCTCGTGTCTACATAGAATTGACACTTACTTTAGGTTAAATGACAAGATAGGCGTATGAGAAACGATTTTTGACGTGATCTTTTTTCTTTTCTTCCCACACAGAGAGGAAAGAGGCTGAACTGGCGACTGCTTCTGTTTAAAACTCTGCTCACAAAAGAGAAGAACCCGGGAAAGTCGGGTTGTAAACTTGGTAGCTATCTTCGTAAATTTTTGTTGCAAAAACTTTGTCACCAGATGTTTAAAACAAATTTAAAACAGTCTGGTATCCTCAGATCATGACTTCTTTAAAAAATGCATTAGTAAAGTCCAAAGAGCTACTCATAGGAATACTTCGGTATAACTACGAACCAAGTTGTATGTAATATTATTAATCCTTGTTTGGTGTTTGATATTTTTTGTAGAAAATGTCAATATGACGCTTTAGTTTGGGGTTGTTTTATTCTAGGAGGTGCCAAAATACTGCGAGGAATGTCAAATATAACCTTGTATGTTGGTCAAGTCTTTACCAGTTTAACATTTGTTAGTCTTTCTTCAGCTAATGATGCAAACAGTCAGTGTATTTGTAAGTTGCTAGTCTCTAGATATGTTATGTAGTTAGTTACAGTACATTGTAGTTCGTTTAATTAGATAATAGATGTCATTCAACTGGTGCTACTATATCCCTCAGTGGTTTACTTTAGAGGAAACTTAAAAGGTATCTACATATATGAGGCGCACAAACGAAGTCTTTAAGTGTATGATATTGTTTAAGACTTTCTAGCAGCTGTTGTGGGGACAAAACTTGGATTTTCTAGAGTCATTGGTGACTAACTGATCCAGTTTGTACAGTGTGTGTGCCTTCTTTTTCCTTTCTGCACTTGTATATCACTTGATTATTTTATCACGAGTGTTCAGATCTGTGCTATTTGACAATCAGAAGAAGTGAAAATTCTACGTCATTAGCTGTGTTACTTATAAACGTAGTGTTATTGACCTTTGACCTAGCAGGTGCAATGTTTCCGCCATCTTGTTTCCGCCATCTTGTTTCCGCCATCTTGAAACCAGTCGATTGTGAAGTGAACATTATAGCTCTAGATTTTAATTATTTTGATTGATAATAGTGAGTTGAATGTAGATGTAGGGAGACAGATGTACAGAAATATGACAAGTGTGATGTTGCTTTTACCCGAAAATAAAATCAAAGAGTCTCCGATTGCTTGGTTTGTTTGTTAGTCGTGCATTTGCTGTGTGTGTGTGTGTTATAGAAATTTTGCATGGTTTGGATAGGCCTGGGGGAGACAATGAACCCACAATAGGTATTAAACACGTTTAAACCTTTTTGTCGTCAGAGCTCTTTTAGGCGGGCATTGCACGATTCGGCATATCATTGTAACATACTCTTAAGTATAACTTTACTGTACGTGATACAAACTTATGGCAACTTGTATCGCGTAGTACATGTAGTATAGTTTGAAACTATATTCTCGTACAGCTCTTGGCGGTGTTTCTAATTTCTAGGGACTTTCTTAGTACTGTACTTTATAATGTATGTAATGTGTTGCCACTGTGTTTTGTTGTAAGACGTGCATATGTAAGCCGCTACATCCGCACAGCTTGTCCGTTATCATGGGAAGCACGCTGCCCACATGATGGTTAATATCCGCTCCCTGCCATTAAACGTTTCCTATCTACTTGTTTTTCACTGGTGGGAGCTTCAACTCCAAGTCAGGATGGAAAAATTGTAACGTTTTCTGGACACACAACCCATGGTAATTGTCAGGAAACGGATCCGTCCGAAAACGCCACTATTGTCCATCTCTACCTCTGCTTGGAGATGAGTGGAAAGAGTTAAAGTAGGGAACGTTCGTTTTTACTAAGCCTAAGGAGAGCATCAATAACACTACGGGATATTGAATGGATAACCCCTCCCAAATTAGTTTGGGTACTATCCTACAGTTTGGCCCCCATGCTCGCTACCTGACAGTGAGGGGACAATATGTATGAATGACCAGGTAAACTAATATATAGCACAGCATCCAGGAAGATCATAAAGAAGGGTTAATGCAAACCAATAAAGAAAATAAGTTCACTATAGTTAGAATTACTATATTTAAGTACGTAACGGTATACATGTACAAAACATCAGAAAAAGCCACTTGTGGCTTCAAACTTTGAATCAAAGTTATTTTGCTTGTAACTGTTAGGATGCGTAACCTTCCCACATAGCCCCACATGGGGTTCAAAAGTCCATGTTTTTCTCAGTGGAGTTCCTTGCGGAAGAAAAATGAACATTATTCAGAATCACAGCATGTTTTTCGCGAAGTCCCTTCTGATAGATGGATTCCAGTCTTGGTACAGACATAATATGGTGATAACGAGGGGCAACGACGCCTTGTCACCAAAACCATCCCTGTCGTCTGCCTCAAACCGATTTAATGTCTCTGATACAACCGTCTTGTCATCCTCTCTTCATAAGAGATTATCTAACGAAAAACGACACCATGATAGCACACCAAATACCATAATTGACTCTTATAATCGGCGCCGGTATTAAATGTACAGTAAGTTATCATACATAGTCCATGTTTAAGAATTAGCATCGAATTCTTGAGTCGCCCTGTTGGTTTCAGTATGTTCATACCGTCACGCCTGAAGGACGCTGGCCTTGGTTTGGGTCGGTCCCAGTATTATGCCCTGTGGGACGTCCTGCCCCCTGTGACTACCTACAAGGACAATCATTCCCTCAATATTTCTCTAAGTCGTCGTCTATTCAGACATGTGCAATATTTTTCTCTATTTAATTATGTTTACCGAAGGAAAACATATTGTTTTCGCTACGTTCAGTCTTCTTCTTCTTCTTCCATTCTAAACACTGACCTCTGATCTGGTCAATAACCAGATTGTCTCTCACCATGGTAACTGGTGTTGGGTTACATAATGTTGCAATTTTATAGTAGGAGGGATTTAGACTCCTGTCACCATATATGTGAATGTGTTTAAGTAAGAATTAACAGAGCAGACCATATGCGAAGGTAAACATGATGCATTTGCTTTGCATAATGTTACATTTCTAGTTAATGTTTGGGATTGCAGATAATCAAAGCATTTTTGGTCTTGTTGTTTTCTATCTAAGATTGACAAGGGTCAAAAATCGGGCATCACGCGTATCGATGTCTTAATCTGACTTAGCAGCTCCAATCCCCTGACATGACTCCCCCACAACAGGTGTTTCTTTTTCAGTAGGCTCCTGTTATTTTCATAGCCTGGATGCCAGTCACTCTCCAATCTTCGGCTTAGTCATGTAAGTTAGGGTAGGCTTATTTTTGGCGCGTTTGAGTTTTTTTTTTTAATTCCAACATTTATTACATGGTGGCGGCACACTCAAGATTTTCCAACTTATTTTTATGCCGCCAACTGCACTCTCATTTGGAAAACAGACATACTCATGTCATATTCATGGGAAATTCGTGTAAAGTGCCTTTCCCAAGGGCATAAGATCAGTGGCATGGCCCGCAAGATTCGAACTCGGGACCTCCTAGCCGAACATAACGCTCTGTCGTTACGCCATGAACCACCCTACTGTTTCAGAATTTATATTTATGGGTGACTACATGTACTGACAGAGGTTCGTTCTAAATCTGGTATGGACAATTGTTGGGACTAGAACAGAAATATTACGTAAACGTCCAAAGATATATGTGACACCAAAATATTACTGGCTGTGATATACTATAGTATCAGAAAAGACTGGGTCTGAATATTTGCAAGGGTATCAAAACATGGAGCTAAATATTCAATATTAGTCATCGGAATATAGTCACTATTATATCATATCACGTTTGGAAACTTACGTATACGTATAATAAAAACAAACTTGACCGACTGACGATTTGGACGTGTGGCAATTCTTTTTGCCTCACATACTAACTGCATGAGTAGTAAGACCAAACCAAAGGAAGCCTATTTTGTGTCTCCCCCATATATTTCTCAACCTAAGAGTCATACAAAACAAATTCCTTTGAAGTGCGGTGAACTTGACTTGTTCAAAGTTCAACACAGCCCTCACCGTCACAGTAACATGTCATTCGACACCAAACTATTCCTACGATGCAAAATGGTTTGCCTTCGACCTTTGGCGAGTGATTTTTAATGGTCTATGTTATGAATTACTTAAATGTTTCTTCGTTGAATCACTCAATTTGAGTCACTGAAGAGTGGGTGTGGCATGTCAGGTCCTGGTATAGATGGTGTAAAGGGGATTGTGAACTACATGTTTTTACTTCAAGCCTGGTTTTAAGTGGATAACTGTGGATTATGTCTATTCTGGATCTAATAATTAAAGATCTGAAATCATATCTCTGGTAGAAAATTAAAATTGTATTTTCACAGTGTAGATATGTGGTTCAGCGAAGGAGTGTTGTGTTTACATTCCGGTATCGCGTGAAACCCTTATCGCAGCCTCGTGTTTCGGGTCTACCCTGGGCGTGTCGGGTTCTGTCCGGAGGGGCGCGCGGCATTCCTGAAGTCACTGCCCCCGGGCTCCGCTTGTAGAGGCTAACAATGTGGTTTCCGCCGCTTCCTTCCGACACAGACGTCACTTTGACTTCAGGGTGAGGGGAGGATCATTTGTGGTTTGTGCGTGGGTTGGTGATGATGGTTTGACTCACGCAAAACGCGTACACGTACGCCCCCATTTCGCCCTCGCACAAATCTGAATGATGATTTGTTTATTCACTGACAAATAAACAGCGACATCACATTCCTGTCTTCCACATGATCTCCGTTCTTCCTATCTAAACCACCGGAAATATTGATTATACACCACTTCCATATTTATTAAAAGATGTCTCGAGATGGAAGGATGCCTACTAAATTATAGATGTATACAGAATAGAAAAAAAAGAGAAAAAGACATTTTGCCTGAATTAAAACCTGGCGAAAAAACTGTTTGATTTTCCATTGGCTGCCATATTAGTATTTTAACAGAAAATACTGAATTAATTGTTTCCGGAGTTTGCCTCAGATATAAATGTACGAACAAATAGATACGTTAATTATTCCAGATGATCATCGAAAACTCTTAAAAATTGGTTTGTTGTCAACTGTAACTTGTAAATTTTTGTCAGTTTTGCCTGAATCAATCTTACCTTTATATATATATGATGAAGATTTCTATAGAGGAGGGGTAAGGTTGCTGGACCACTTTATTTCAATACTGGCTTCCTTTCCACGATCAGTTAGTAGGTCAGAGAAGAACAATTTTGAACCGTTGGCACTGTGTATTCACCAAGGGCGTTTGATACATGATGTCCTGGATATACTATAATGCCCTGATTCCCCTTCTTTGGCAAACTTCAGCTATTTTTGCGATCTGGGCCAGACTCCATTCTTTCTGGCTGTCTGGGTTTGTACTGACCTGATAGCCTTTACCAGGCTTCGGGAAGCGGCTGCAAAATAGTAGAAACCGGCTAGAATTTAGAAAGACAGAAAATATTCCAGGGGAGTTGGCCCGGGAGCGGCAAAATGTTCTCTCATGATTTCGGACCAACTTCCATCTGTCTTTGAAATTCTGGCTGATTTCTACTCTTTCTATCCGCTTCCCGAAGCCTGGTAGTTCGAGGCTACTGACCTGAATCTGTAACCGAATGTTGATCCAGATAATCCTGCGGCGTTGACCCCACGCTGACCCGGCCACCCGTGACCTTTCGCCTTTTTCAGCTGTGCCCGGTAGGGGTCAAGTGGTGGACAAACAAACACCAACGGGCCGGTCCACTAGTTTCGATTCAGGAGGGCCTGCAAGCCCTTTTTCGTAAGGCGTAATCAGGCCGTTTTATTAGGCCCGATTTAGACTAGAAACGCTTAAGGGGTTTTGGCCAGGGAAACGTTTCGGAACGGTTAACCGTTCCCGGTCTAAAGAGGAAAAAACGGTTTGTTATGGGTTTTCGCGGACCGTTTCCGAAAACCACCTCCATCGTGGTTTTCGACCGTTTCAGAACCCTTCAGCGGGGGGCCCGAAACGCTTTTTGCTAGGTCTAAAGTCAAAGGGTTTCTTGAAACGGTAAACCAGGTCACGTGTCATATGCTAATCACATGCTAATAAGCCCGCACGCGTCCATTTTCTGGTAGATTCGCGCCATATTCGATTGTGTCCATTTTCGCCATTTTATATCATGCATTTCTCGAATTTTCGTCATCCTTTATGTCTGAGGGGATGGCAGAAGGCCAGGGGAGGGTCTGGACCCAAGAAGAGATCCGCTGCTTGATCAGCTTGTGGGCCGATCAAACTATACAATCCCGCTTGGAGACCTCGCGTAATAGGGAGGGCATACAGATGCTTGTGGACGGGCTGGCGGCTGAGGGGTATTTACGCACCCCAAAGCAGGTTCGGGCGAAGTTCAAGGCCCTGAAACACAAGTATCATAAGGCCAATGAGGCAAACCGTAGAAGCGCTTTGGGGAGGTCATCATAGGTCACTGTGGGTCAGAAACATCCTGCGCCACGGGCGGCCCGAAACGCTTCCGCCTCTGTGTCTAAAGACGAACCGTTTTCTGTGGCGAAACGTTTCGTACCGTTTCGAAACGGTATACCGTTTCTAGTCTAAATCGGGCCTTAATTAGACTTCGTAATTCGTAGGCAGCCTCCGCAAAAATCAACGTAATTCGTAATTGGACATTAGCTGCAAATCGTAAAGTTGTAATCAGCTCTGAAACTTTAACGTAATTCGTAATAGGCGGCGAAAAATTTGCGTACTTCGGAATCACTACCCCCCCCCCTTGCAGGCCCTCCTTTAGGAGCGTAAAAATCTTATAGAAAATAGTTTTAAACATAGCTATTGATTTAGTAGCCTGGGTTCCAAACCCGTAACTGGACACAAAGTATCTCAGTGAGCCTGTGTCCAGTGCGCTATGGGTTTGGAACCCAGGCTATAGGTTTAGAAAATTACCTTTTATTTTGTATATTCTGAAGTTATTTTGTACTCTGTTTCAATGTTCTTTTATCCTTCTTATTTGAAATAGCCTTCGCGCAGGAATTTGCAATAAAATACATGTACAATGTCCCTGAAGAATAGACTTATCATGGTACAAGAAAGACAAAAAATGAAGAATATAGAAAGAGGTGGGGAGTGAAATTATAGATTGTGATAGCCCCGCACTTGAGGGAAATGTCGGGTGGAGGGTCAATTATATATCGAAAATCCATAGAGGGTGAGCCTCTTTACTAATTAAACGTCCGTGCGGAAAGTGGGTATTATCGTATATGCCTCGTGCATCGCACATTGCCAATATTCCTATAACAGTCACGTATAACCTATATGGGTACCATAAGATGTTAGAAAGACTCCCCCATGTCTTGACTACAGCGGTGTTTGTGTATCCCCCATGGTGACCCTCGCTGATGACAGTTGCAGTTGTGACCAGTCCCAGCCGCGCCCCACGCTACAAGCCACCGCCATTCGTCACCCTATTGGTCACCCAGCTGCAGCCTACAAAACCAACGGTCCCGAGTTCGATTCCCAGCGAGCCAGCCGTGCTGCCAAGACCCTCTAGGTGAGTCTCCCTGGTCCTACTTTTCGGACATGTTTACCCTCTCTCGTCATAAAGATGACAACCCGTGATCTATATATGCTCGGCTAGGGCTATATTATATCTAGACGTGGATATATGGGATGCAACTAGATCTGTTGCGACCGTAAAGGCGGCCACTCCCACCCCTAGCGCCGCTGGATGCTCCGCGTGCCTCTAGATCGGCATGTTGAGATCGCTTTTCCCTCCCTCCATCCTTCTGCCACACAACCCTAGCGCCTCTGTACGCACAGAGAAAACCAAAACACGCCGTCAGTTCCCTTCCTCTGGCCGTACGAATCGATAAACTCTAGCGGATAACACCAGTGCCCCTTCGCGAGGTTGTTTAAAACTTTGGTGCCAAGCTAGCGAGGTGTACGTTGGTTTGTAGTGTAGATCAGAGTGTAGTGCAAGATTCTGGTACGGGACGCTTTCGTACCTCAAGGGTTTCTTAGAAAGTTGCGGATTGTGCGATACTGATGGTAAGCCTTGCGTGTTTAGCACCACACGTCGGCAGCTACAGCTAGAGATTCAAAGCAGACGGGCTGGTAGGATAGGGGCAGGGAGGTTTTACGGGGTTTCCGGCGGTTGAGAAGGTCTAGTTTTCCCGCTAACAGTCCCCGATGTTTTCCCAGCCGTCTGGGTCACGCTTTCCCGACATCGGCGTGACATACTCCCAACAATTACGTATTTACAGAGCAAAGGGGGAAGCCAAAATAGTCCCTCGTGCGATGCGCACTTGTCCTTGTAGTTCGCAAAGAGAGAAGACAGTGAGAAAACTTGTTGTAGTATTTCTGAGCGGAAGTTTTTGTGGGGGGATGTGATACTGTGTGCCTGTAGGGCTAGCCTCGGATCCAGTCTTACGTGGTTGGGGTGTTCAGGCAGGCTGTGTCTTCGGGGGCAGGGCTCTAATAGCTTCCCCCGCCCAGTGCAACAGGCCGTCCCGGTAGGAGAGTTACACTAAGAGACAGTATGCTTGGGGATTTGGTTTCCCCCCATCTCTCGTGAAACACACACCGGGAAACCTATGTGAGGCGGGCGGGAAAGAGCTCCTGCGGTCCCGACAACGATCAGACTGGATACCAGGCTACCACTGTAGGGCGGGGCCGCTTCTGGAAATTATCAACAACGCGGGAGCGGAGAGATGTATTTTGGCTGTCACTCTGGTTTCAATCATGTTATCTCCCCCCACGATCTGGGCATGATTTACCTCGCCAAATACCTCCATGCGTATTCCCTTTCCACTACTCTTACACAATTAGGAGTGATTCTTTTAATGATCTCATTATTTTATATAACAGTTTCCCTGACTTCATGTTTTTGCCATAAAAGTTGCAGTGTTTTAGACTATGTTTATGATCCACACTGTTTGTATTCCTGCAAACTTAAATTTTGTGAAGTTTTTTTTGAGGGGGGGTCATTTTGCATTTTTTCTTCTTCTACGCTATTAAACATTTTTTTATCGCTCTTACGCTTGTAACTGAGACAGTCAGTTTGTGGATGATTGCAGAGGATTGGCTAATCCAGGTTTCATCCGCGATTTTTGTTTGGATTATCCAGGATCTACTTCAATGGAACGCGGCTGTTCTGAGCATTCCCAAAATCTTTTAAATAATTTCTGAAGTTAGCCTCATTTTTACAGATAGATATGTCAGAGAAAAAAACAGAATTGAAAGGAGAAGAGTGTGTTAGTAAGGAAAATGGCGACAAGGCTTATTCTACAAGCATGCTAGCAGAGGTTGAGTTTTGGCTCATTTTGGCGTGTTTTAGGCTTTTCATTGGGCTTTTTAGCACTGGCATCTTACGTTGGGTTGGGGTAAAAAGATATACAAGTGCAAAAAAAGCCCTTTAAAAAAACCAAAAACACGCAAAAAAATAATCCCAAAACCCAAACCTCTGCTTGGAGAATAGACCGGGCTAGCCTGTACTCTTGAGAACCCCTTGCCGGGCCATGTGGGTCATACGAGCCGCGCATTCCTGTGCCGGACCCCGGCGTTGGGCGGCCCACTTTCCCACGTCACACTGGCCCGTCGGAAACTCTAGCCGGGCGGGTGGCGTTAATCTCTAAGCAGACGCATGGGGTCTTCCCGCCAACTCACTCACTCACTCAAGGCCGCATGCTTCCATGGGGAGCCAACAGAGAACAAAAAAGCGCGGGCCACTAGAAAGGCAAAACCGGAAATAAAAACCATACATCTGCTTAGAAGTTACTTTGCCTACACGGTCTGTAGACTTTATAACAAACCCTGCTCCCTGGCTGATGTGTTATTCTATATAGCTAATATATTAAATATTTAAGTATTGTTTTATCCTATATTTTAATTATTAAAATATTGCTTTATGTTCTTTCACGTTGGTTAATATTGTAGAAATAGGGTGAAATCTGAGTGAAAACGGCTGCAGTCTGCAAACAATTACGCAACCAGTAAAGTTAGGGCGGAATAAAACGCCCGTCGTGGAGCCTGCGGTGGAGGCTACGAATGTTCCGTATGTGTTTGTAGGAAGGGGGAGGGGCGGGGAACATGCGGCCGTTTGAAGGACGGGGTTTTAATCGCGATTCTGTACTTTTCTCAAGCCTTTATCGACGTTTTGTCATCGTAAATGTTTCAACCTCTGACACTGTGTAAACAAGATGGCGTCCCTTGATACGATACGGTTGGAGGTACCCTGTGTCTTCTGTCATGCCAGTTTCCGTAGACTGAAAATTGAGTGTTACTAACGATCGGAAATTCTGACCAACATGTTTACAAGCGATACAAGTCCTACTGTAAGCTCCTGTAAGTCCTACACGTGGTTAGAAATCGTATTCGAATCGTAAAATCTGGAACCGGTGTTTCTTATTTTAAAGAGCTGCATTATGTAAAATTAGGATGCTAAAAAAAAGTCAATTTTCTAGTCAATTCTTTACAAAGTAACTAAGTTAACCTACCCCGTTACAAATAACTGCCACTCAGGAAGTAGAGCTGGCAAAATGCCTTACAAGTGTGTTCAAAGGCTGGAAACACAGCTGTCAGCCATGTTTGTTTACATTTTGGTAGTTTGTGGTGGCACCACAAACTGATTGCACCTCATCTAGGCGATTTTAGTGCCAACCATAAATGTAAGAAATATGAGATAATTGCACGAATATTTTGAAAAACGGAAGCGACTTACAATCAAATTACATTTTTTTCAATCGAAATATCTCCATTTTTTGTGCAAATATTTTTACACAATGCCCCTTTAAAAGATTAAGTTATGAATATGATAATCCTGGACCACACAACTCCTATGCAGATTGATAACTCCACGGGACAGACGGTATTTCTGCTCTGCGTGAAGCATGTGGCTTCAGTTTATCGCAATATCTAAAACAAATATAGCATTGAGCCTCCGTGGCGAGTTCCCTTGTTTGGGAAACATTATCTTTGAACGTAACCTCTGGGCCCGCCCTCTCAAAAATCTCTCCGTCTTTCTGTGAAGTTTTAGTGAAGGTCTGTGTCGTTTTCGCTTCTTTTTCTCTCAGATCGTTTGGTTATTACGTCATCAGAGGACACGCAGTGCCTCAAAGTTGTGAGGAACCTATTGCAATGCAAGATCGGGCTCGAAATTTAAAAAAAATCTCGTCATCTGACTGTGAACTTTTAGATCTGACTGTGTTTTCGCTTGTTTTTTTCTCTCAGATCGTTTGATTATTACGTCATCAGAGGACAGACGCATGCAGTTCCTCAAACTTATGAGGAACTTAGATCGGGCTCGACCCTAAAAAAACCTCGTCCTCTGACTGAACTTTTATTAGATCTGACTGTGTTTTCGCTTGTTGTTTTTTTTTTCTCTCAGATCGTTTGATTATTACGTCATCAGAGGAAAAGGATCGTACCGCAGAGTTTGAGGAACTGAGACCAGGCCCGCCATTTCACAAATCTCATCTTCTGTCTGTGAACTTGAAAATCTGACCGTGTTTTCGCTTCTTTCCCTCAGATCGTTTGATTATTACGTCATCAGAGGACAGAGGCCGTCCCACAAATCGGGCCCGCATACAAAAATCTTGTCTTATGATTGAACTTCTAGATCTGACTGTGTTTTCGCTTCTTTCCCTCAGATCGTTTGATTATTACGTCAGCAGAGGACCGCCGCAGTGCTGAAACAGAGTTGTGAGGAAAAACCAAGATGGCGATCATGTACAGTCCTCGAGCGGCGTGGTTTGTGGGGATTTTGTTGGTGATTCTCGGGTTCGTGAGTTTCATCACGGGAATCGTGGGGCTGGGAGCGTGTCACGGGCAGTGTGCGCCGCTGGTGGCTCTGACAGGCGCGCCCATATGGAGCGGCATCGCGGTGAGTACGGCTCTTCTTCACACATATTTGTTACCATAAGATAACGGCTCCTCTCTCTTTTGAAAATCAGGTTGTTCAGAAATTTTGTAGAAAGAACTAGAAAAATCGACATGATTTCTGCATACGACTATGTATGACACACATAAATCTGTGACTTAAAAAAAAAAAGATAAACACATATTTTGTGTAGAAATGTTCTATTTTAGCAGCTGTTAATGAACTTTTAGTTCACAGACTTAATGATATGGCCGCGTGTCACACCCCTGCCAAAACACGATTTCAAAATGCGAAAACGTGGTTCAAATCAAGAAGGAAAGTTTCATGATAAAAGATTGTTAAAAACTCCATTCTTTATTTGGTAGTATCTGTACGATTTTTATGGCAGTTTTCCCATTTAATGTTATATGTTGTTTCCACCATAACATCAAAATGCTTTAGTTTTATTACATATTATTTACTTGGATTTTAGGATTTTCAACAGTTACTGTTACTGTGGTCTAATTAGAATTTCCCAAAAGTGCTACGTGGAGGTTCAGTTGCGGTCAAGCGAAAAAAAAATCTCCAAGCAGACACAACACTACAGACCGGTCAGAACATGCCCAAATGTTCCACAGGCTTAAAATGCCGACGTAATAGCTCCACATATCATAAAACGGTGCGAGAAACTCCACTAACACGGTACACGTAGCGCGACATTTGGGCAGCTGCAACTTTAGCGTCGCTGCTAGTAAACAAAAGGAAAAATTGCACCCCTCAGATTCGCACTGGCCTGTATGTACATGTTGTATGTAACACAAACCCCGTACGGACTAGACACATGCAGAATTTATCGACCGTTCGTTCTTTTGGGTCCTAATTCTTTATTTGGCGTTGCATTCGGCGTTCACCCCTAGAGTTGGCAGTCTTCCAACCAGACAGATACCTGAGAGGTTTGTGATGGTTTGAAAGATTATCCATCCAGTGTCGATGGCAGTTGTAGGTTGGTTAATAGAACGATAGAGGGGAAAATAGGGGTTAGCGAAAACCCTGTAATTGAAAAAAAATGCCACATTCAGCAAATCTCAAAAATAAAGCATTTATTTTAAATATTATGTATTATTGAAGACGGGCAATGCACAGCTGCAAGATATAGATCGTTCTGAATTTGGAACTGCGCCCAAGATGAATTATGTAATATTTGTCTGTATTTCTGCTATGCTGAAAAGTCCAATTTTAGGTTCTTTTATTTTCGTACTCGTTTGTAAATTTCATTGTTTAATATTTTCAGTCGTTAGGTCATTAACTTCTTTACAATACATTACTGTGGATTTATTTGGAATTTTATTGGAATTCTACTTGTTTAGTGATGAAGAAATGCACATGGAATTCTCAATGTCAATGTCAATGCCTGAAATGTCGTTAGAATTGACTATGACGCAATCCGAGCGCCATTTCCCGCCCTATTGGAGACGTTTTACGACATAAACATTTACGACAGCTCCGCCTTCTCGTCCCTAGAGCAATTTATTGATTTGGGACGTTCCCAGGCTGAGCGTTTGGGTGTTTGGTTGACCCCCGGTGCTAGGGCGGGAAGGGACAATTCAGTAACTATGCCTAATGGGTGCAACATTAAAGACGGTTGAGTGCAAGGCGTAATTGCTTCTAAAACGCTGTTCAATCTCGCCCCTCCCTAAGCTTATAATGTATCAGATTCAGAATTAGAGAAAAATCGTTTTATAATCATACGCTTCTCTCGTTGATAGGCATGGTTCCCCGGACACGTGGGCCCATAGTCATACATTGCTCTAGCCTGGGTGCCATGCTGCTGAGCCTGGGTGCCAGGCTACTAGTACTAGTCTTTCTTTGTGGACATGTTTGCCTTGGAGCCGAGGAACTGGCCTATATAGGTTCTGGTACTCTCCAAGCATAGGTTTGGGTTTGGGCTTATTTTTGGGGGGCTGGTACAAAAAAGATACCAGTGCAACAAAGTCAAGCCCGATACAAAAGCCAAGAAACACACCAAAAATAAGCCAAAGGCCCAAACTTCTGCTTGGAGAGTGGACCCTGGAAATAGCCTGGCATCCAGGCTAACAGTGACTACATCGGTGGCAAAGCTAGGCATTGCTAGGGTACCTCCTTGTGACCTACTCTCCAAGCAGAGGTTTGGGAGGTATTTTAAGCGTGTTTTTAGGCTTTTTTTTATCGGGGTTTCTCTTTTGCAATGAATTTTTTTCCCACCAAACCCAACTGTGGGAAAAAAATTCAGTGCAAAAGAGAAACCCCGATAAAAAAAGCCTAAAACACGCTAAAATACCCCCAAAACCCAAACCTCTGCTTGGAGAATACTTGTGACCCCGGTCGGCATATCCTGTCCTCGAGCCCGAGAAATGTAGCAGATTTCCACGTCCTGTCCGGCACGCTACACCGGGTGTCCATAACCTAATATTGCGGCCTGACCGACTCACGCTACAGGCAACACGAACATGTCAATACGGGCGATGTCAAAAATGCTAAGCACTTGACCGTCAATGACGCCACCAAGTAACCAACTATTTTCTTTCGCAGAAGTACTAGTACATATTATAAGGACTGAATTTTAAACAGACAATTTAAAGGCACCCAAAGGTATTTCATAGCAATATAACTAGATTTTCAAAGTCAATTTAATAGTATTTTTCATGTAATAAGTTCAATCAACAGGCAAAAAAATGCGATGTCGCTGACGTAAAAAAGGGTTTTGTTTTGTATTGTAGCTAGCCTGGCTCGAGCTATTTCTTCGTGGTAAAATACAAAAACGGCCACCGTAACGTCGGATGTGAAAACCCAGTAGTTTCTGAACAAAGAATCTTCTTGTACAACTCAAAGACCTAATTTTTAACGAGGCTCACTGTGGAGTGTTTTTGTAAATAACCTGAACTCACCTTGGCAACAAATCAAGCATTTAATTCCTGGCCTAGTGGGCTTAGCTTTTGGCTCCCAATCCTCCGAGTATTACAGTAACATACTAGTACTAGTAGCTATGTTTGCTACATCTTTGGACAGCACTGTTCACGTTACACCTAGAGACCACTTAAATTTTATGGGCTACCTTTAGAGTGTTCGGCCCTGGTTTGTTCGCACAGGGCCTTTGCAGTTAGCCTCAAATCCAGCCCTGTTACTGTTAGCTACAATTACAAACAGATCCGCTTCGAAGAATTCAATCCCTTGTTGGCAGGGAACGAATTTTTTGGGGCCGGTAGCTAACAGCGCTGGGTTTCAGGCTACTTTGCCCTGGCGGTCGATCTTTCCAGACGGCTTTTCTAATTACTGTTGTCCCGCAGACCTAATTAAAACCTCTAGCGTCAAACCCCAAGCGTGCACTGGACTGGACTAGCGTTGTAGAGGCCAGGCAGCCTCGGCGGTCTGTCCTCCAGGCTATAAACTTTTTTTCCTTATTACAACAATACAATGCGGACACTAGGCAGCTACTAGCTGATAATGTTACCACATATTTCCTACATACATATAAAAACTTTAAACACGCGATAAATAGCATCAGATACATCAAATACTAAAAAGCTTTTTGGTCGGTACAACGATAAAGTGGGACAACATGTGTTATGGATTCAGATTCCATCAATCACTGGATCAATCCCGTGTCACCAAAATCATTTCAAAATAAGAGGAGAGAGAAGGCATTTCAATTATCCTGATAATTTGACTCGTCACTAGTTGATTAATCCATCCCTCCTTAAATGCTGTTTTGTGTAGCTTTTGTAGTACGGAAGAAATATAATGTATCTAGTCATTGATAGTAAGGCCATGTTGATTTGATTATGGATAACATCCTCTGGAAACCCCAAAGCTGATGCTAGCGTGCGAATAAAAAAAGTTTGGCAAACAAAATTGCTTTCATTATGAAATCTACGTGGTTTTGAAGGTTAACGAAATGACAAAGAGTATGGTTTGGTGAATAATCTAGTCTTCAAATTCATTTCTTTACATTTTCGTCTTTTTCGTTTGATTTTGGCATTCTGTGACATTCAATCGATTGGTATCGTTTTCCAATGTTTTTTTATTCAACTAACGGTATATATTTCCTCATTTTGCAACTGCTTTGACGGAACGTTTGTACGATTTACAGTATGGTTGAATTCATGCGCGCGCGGATGTCATCCATATAATCAAACTAGAGTTCCACGATCTCATACCTTCGCCAAATGATGTTAGCCTTTATGACTAAGAAATTATAGATGAATCCCCCTGATTGTGCAAATAGGATCCTATATTGCATCAATTATATCTGTTGATCATATTCTACACAAGAAGTCTTATCTTATCAATGCATGCCATTATAGCATGTTCTCATAAATTATGCAAATGAGTTCCTTATTTGAATAAGTTATGTTTAATTATGTTCACCTTCACATAAGTTTCAAATATCCCAAGTATGAAATTCCAGACATTACCACTATGTAATTATAACATTTTCTTGTTAATTATGCAAATTAAGTCTTCATTTGCATAATCAATATCTGCCTGTATTTCTGCCGTTCTGAATTACATGTCACAAGCTTGAATCGTCCTATCATGGAATGCAGCTGATTTATAGAATTTCCTCATTAATTATGCAAATTACATTAATATTTGCATAATTGTAATATCATTATGTCAAGCATCGCTTCAGCTACCTACATGCTAAAAATCACGACGATCCATCAGTCGGTTCTTGAGTTATCCGCCTTTAAACATTTTTCAACTAATGTCCCTGCAGTTCCAGAGCCCAAACTCACGTCACTTGTTCCCTAGCACAAGAGCTACCTTCCATCCAAATTTCGTCACCCTAGCATGTCTAGATCACGAGATATCAAAACCGGAAGTTCAGCTGCAGTACCATAACAAGCCGCTAGGGGGCCCAAAATCTAATCAGTTCCACGTCTCATGAAGACCTACCCACCTACCAAGTATCAAGACAATCCATCTTAGCCTTCTTGAGTTATCGTGCTCACACACACACACACACACACACACACAGACACACGAACGCCAACGAAAACATAACCTTCTTGGCGAAGGTAATGAACATGGCCTAAGTATTAGTGGGGAAGAATGAAGATATATCACTAAAATTGATGAGGTCAAAGTAAAGGTCAAATAAAAAATTAACATAAAATCGTTTTGGCAGTCTTAAACGGAAGTGGTGTCGGAAATCGATTCCCGTAAACTATATTTGTCAGTCTAGGAAGGCAAGGTCATAAAAGGTCAACCATATTTTTTCAGACGACATTTTGGTGTGAAAGAAAAGAATGTCAGCTGACAATCTCCCCTGACTGATTGGTCGTCTGAAACAACCGATTTAGAAAGACCCTGTCTGAAAAAAAAACTTCATTAGTGAGATAGTTAATGGATTCAACAGCAGTCAAAACAACATTGACATGACATCTTTGTGAGAACGCTAAAAGATGACTTGTTAGAAAGTTGTAGCTTTGTAGATTTTTCAATTGCATTTGACATGCACTATTTATTTAGCAAAAAAAAAAAATCGGATAACACCCAGGCTACAAAATCTTATGGCATTGACATGAATTTATCATGGATAAAATCTAACGAATGCATATGTGTATGTGTCGAAGGGGAGAAAAACAAAAGGAAGCGCTGTTTTAAACCCTATCTAGACCGGGGGGGGGGGGCTAAAAGTGCCCGCGCCAACTTTGATGTCACGTAGCGTCTGAACGGATAGTGCTAGAACGGCCAAACTTGGTGACTTTTCCTAACATATTGTTGGCAACTATTCTGTATCATTGGAATAAGATAATAATTTTTTGTGTTGCCATGGCAACGGGTTTCTGACAGGCATTTTTTTGCTAAATTTAGTAATTTTCGTTTCAACAATAGAATTATATGGGTTTTATGTCAAGTTACACATGGTTTCTAATGATAATAACATCCCAGATAGTTTTATGTAAATTTTATCATTAAAAATGCATAATTTATACTAACGCATCTAATATGCACAATGAACAAACTCTGTAGTTCTTCTATTATGGTATTTATTTGTTGGTGGTCCTTTACAGAAGTGACCTATAAGGGCAGTTCCCAAGCCATGTATAACTACTTATCACGTAACTATGTAGCCACAGTAGCGGTACGCGTCACAACACGACTTGAACTTGACATACAAACACATCTGTCTGCCCTCACGCGAGATATAACGAGACAGCCCGAGAGTTAAAGACATAACCAGCTTGAGCAATCTTGTTAGGGTCCTTATTTGGAGGAATGACGTAAAAGGCTCGTCCAGCTCAACACTGAGTTTATAGATAAATAGTAGACATCATACTTTGAATACTGACTTACGTTGAGCTTTTGATGTCTACAACAGTCTACGTCCTAACTAAGTAGTTGTTACTTAGTTCATGGCACTGTTTTACGATTTCTATCTTCAAATTTGCTAGATTAATTTCCTTCTTCCTAGATAGAAGCAAAGAAAAGTGAAGCTGTGTAAAATTATGAAGTAAAACTTTAAAGTTTAATAGCTTGCATGTCTGCAGTTGAGTTATAATTATCTGTGCCCTTCGTGACTCCAGTTTTGTAGACTGTCTGTTTCTCCCATCAGCCGACAGGAACCAGGAAAGACGCGTAACCCCGGGTCTTGCTTTGACGTTAATAGAGTCCTGGGACTTTATCATATTTTGTCACTCAGTCTTTAGAACTTGGCTTGTGTCACAGTTGAGTTTAGTTAGGCCAAAGTTACTGTAACAAAACGCAGTTTTCCCCATTTTTCAGGTCAAGTATGTCAAAGATCAAATGATAATTTGGTGCCAGACTAATAGGAGATTGAAATAAATACAGTGTTAATACAAGTCCCTAAGATGCAATGTAATAATTAATTAATAAATACATAAATTTGATAATTTTGTCATGATTGCCTTCTGAGTGAAATGAGCGAGCCTATACTTTGCATGACGAAGCAAAATTTTTGCTTGATGAAGCAAAAGATATTGCATTTTATGATATGGGATCATCATGCTAGAAATTGTCTTTGTTGACCGATGTAAGACCAAGTTTTGTGCTGACTCTTTTGCAGGCTGAATGAATGGAAGAAATCGGCCTAAAAAGAATGTATCTGACCAGGGGAGTTAGCCGGCCATAAACTATAGGGTCCAGTTTTCCTGCATCTATGACCGGCTAAGTCCCCTGCTACATTCTTTTTAGGCCGATTTCTACTATTTATTCACCATGCAAAAAAAGTCTTTTGGAGACTCATCATCATCAACAGTACAAGGAACTAATCAGAGGATTCCTACGGTAGTTTGGAAGTCTGGTTCCAATTAAGTGGCGTGACCTTGGGGTTCACATTACACATTAGCCGCCCAAGGACGTTACCGGGTTGGAGTTGGAGCAGAGTTCGGCTGGAATTTTTGTTGGCACGAAAAACACTCGTTTGAAGGAGCCCAAGTGGATACTTTTGTTACAAATTTTGTGTACGTTTACTTTTGCGTTCCCGTCATCGATTCGAAACATGGATCTACCCCCTACAAGCGTCGGTGGCTACCGCCTGGCTTTCTTACGGGGGTACGGATCGTAGAATTTGGCAAAAAAAGGGGAAATATTTGGCCAGGAGAGTCACTCCGCGAAAGGGTAATGAACTCTACGGTAGCTTCAAATCCCCTGGCCAATTATTTACTCCCTACTTGGCTAAACCTTACTTGTTGTGAACTCGCGTTGTTAGTCCACTGGTAGCCTGGGTGCCAGCCCCATAGCACACTGGACACAAAGTAGTTCATCAGTGAGAACGCTCACTGAGATACTTTGTGTACAGTGTGCCATGGGGCTGGCACCCAGGCTAGTCCACTGGAGACTATATGACCTATTACTAGTACTATCAAAGGCTGGTAATGGTTACAACCTACAGAAAACAGAAAGAGTACTTTTGAGTTATGGGCGTATGTGACTAAACCCATGATGGCAGTTGGTAAACGGGTATATCAAAATGAATCATCGTCATATTTTTTAAGTGAAAAATCGTTGATGAGAACAACAACGTGGACGTCGTACTCCGTCAAAAGTGTGAAGTTTCACATCCATCAAGCAAGTACTAGTGTTGGACGTTTGCAACACGCCTCTAGTGAAAATGATAGTCGACTGTCACACCGAAATGTTTTTGAAGGCTTCAACATGGAGCACTTCAATTTGCACATGTAGAACATTGATTAACTGTTGTTTGTCACTTGTAGGTGATCATCGCTGGTGTATTTGCCGTGGCCTCAGCACGGAGACCCGAGAACGGATGCCTGGTGAGTCAGTCTTGAAAATCATATTGCTAACATTCATTTGTAAATTGTAAAATTGTTTAATCCTTTTGGACAGAGTTTACCACTTGGTGGAATGCCAAAACACAATCACAAATATATCTAGAGGAAAAAATATCCTTTATGGACACACGTCAGATATTCTTTTAAACAAAGCTATGTTGACAGCTAAATATTACATCATTAAATACATTGTACGAAACGAAAGTTTTAGATTACAAAATATGCGCCAACATTTAGAGCACTTGGTGTAAAAGGGGTAAGCCATAACACACCATGTATTTGTATGTGTAGTTGTATGTAAAATTTGAAAGAAATGATTAAAAGAAATATTGCTAACATTGTATCCTACATTGTACCGGTTTAGAGTTACATGTTCTTACTAATAGATTGTTACTGGTAATTTACAACAAATACATAAGAAACTGACATTTTTCTTAAAAAAAAACAAACTAAAATAGATTAAGAGAAGGGTGGAAGGCACCACAATCGAATATGTTAATTCTTGTAACCACCAAAAACAGTTTATCACAAAGCTGGGGTTGAAAAGAAATCTGTATACTTAGCGGTGTTTTAGCCAAACGTTTGGTCAGGTCAGGGTCAAGGATAAGTCTGCCTGAGGGACTTCCGATTGGCTGGAGCTGATTAAGTTGTCAGCTTGTTAAATCTACATTTTCATAATGAGATGTGACAGCTACATGTACTACAGTATCTAGAAAAGTATCTTCACGGAGATAAGAAAGAAATAAGGCAAAAAGAAAGAAAAAAGACGGAATTAAATGCTTAAGATTTTACTCGGCAGTGAGTGTTTCGAAATATGCAGTACGTACTAGTATCTTTTGGTCACAAATTCGTGACCCTAGCATGTCCAGTTCACGAGATATCAAAGCCAAAATTCCCGCTGCAGTACCATAACACGCTACTAGGGGGCTCAAATTTAACTCACCTCGAACGCTACCAAAAACATAACCCTCTTGGCGAAGGTAACAAGTACTGCCAGATAGAAGTATTGAAAGAATGTAATGACATTCCAAGGAGGTGCTATCAGATGGACATACCAGAGATAATGTGGACGTGTCCAGTGTGTCACGCCTCTTCACCAACACCGCAGTTTTGCCCTGACCTTTGACCACAGTAACGTCATTAACGGTCCCTGTTTATCTTCACAGATCACCACATTCTTGACCTTTGCCCTCCTGGCCGCCCTGCTTACCCTCATCTGTTGGCTCATCGCGCTCATCGAGATCGGCGAATGGAACGTGAGTTGTTTATTGTTGTCTATTCCTTCCGCATTTTGTTTACTTGTTTACGCTTGTTACCCGAAAGGATAGAGGCTGGTGAACTGAAAGTCAGTGCTGTTTCGTTTAGATGTAATTATGTTTACCGAAGGAAAACATATTGTTTTTACTCAGTTTCCTCTTCTTCTCCAAACCAAAAATGTCAATGACCTGAACCAGACTGTCTGTTACCATGGTAACAATTTAAATGGTTTAAATTTAATTATCTACTTGTGTGTTTGTGCATGTGTTTTTATCATATTTTAAGAGTTAAGAGCACATCCTTCGTAATGAAACACACATACGCACACATACACACACGGGTGTGCGCTCGCGCATACGCACACACAGGGAGAGAGAGAGAAAGAAAGAGTGGGAGGGAGGGAGGGAAAAAGAGACTAGGAAAAGAGAGACAGACAGTCCTAAAAAGAGGGATTCCTTCATCTTATCCTTGAGTACGATACACTGGAATTCGGTTAGCCCCAACTACCTGTCAGCAAACGCCTTCAAACGGACACCTCCAAGAGATCAGGCACCTTTCGTATCTCCTAAGTATACAAAACAACCATCCCGGATAGATGATACGTTATTAACGGACTGCTGACGGACGGGAGGCAGGCTGGGGCTGATCACGAGCCCAGGGTACCGACAGATCACGCTGGGGACGTGACCTGTGTGCGACCGTTGGGAATTCAAACAGAAACAAGTTGCTCTTAGTCATAGGAAAGAACACAAACAAGCCAACAATGAAGCAACTGCGATGATGAATGAATGAATGCCTTGTGCTTTATGCACCCTGCCCGTTTGGGCTTAATTATAAGACACCAGTGGGTTAAGAAGATACAAAATATATGGTTCAGAAATCAAGTGAACAAGAGTGCATATTGACATCCAGACTGGACACAAACAAGCAAAACTGGAAATAATAAAAATGAATAATCCTTGATATCAATTCTTAGATTCAGATAAATTAGCAGATATTTCTTAAAATGAATACAAATACGTCTGATAAATAACCTACACGAAAGGAACAGAAACAAGTACATGTAATACAGGGGTAACTAAAGGCTAGCCTCTACCAGGCTTCGGGAAGAGGCTGGAAAGAGTAGAAATTGGCCAAAAAGAAGTGCCAGGGAAGTTAGTCAGCGCTAAGAGACAGTTTGCCGGCAAAAAAAAGGTAATGATTGTGACTTTTCCAGCCGCCGTACGTGACCGTGAGGCGCCCGGCCGCTGCCGGTAACGACGCCGCCGATGAGTTCCCGACCCCCGCCTCTGTGCCGGGTACCGCTAACGTGCTGGCCGGGACCGGAGCAGACGCTGACGCCGCTGCAGGCCCCACCGAGGAGCCCGAGGTCTACTGGCCGTACTATGTAAGTATACTTTTGCCAAAAACCTTCTGGGATACGTCAAAGTCATTCTGAAAAAAGGGACAGTTTTAAAAATGTTTGGACATCATCTAAGTATGAAATATGAAATATTAGATATGGATTTTGAAACATTGTTTATCTTTGGTATCTATTATTTTCCATTTTATTCCAGATCCGTATATAATTTACCCACTAGATGCTTTCGCCTGGGCATTGTGTACTATTTTATAAGGAACAAAAATAGACTGATACCATAAAGTGACTTTAAGTCAACGACAAGCACAGTAGGGAAAGGAAATAGTTGTTTCGATAACCAGATAAACAAGGAAAGTGACAAATCCACTTTATAGTTGTTTTTTAAACAATCTGAATTTTTTTTCTACCCCCAGGACGACCACTGGGCCCTGTGGGGAATTATCTTCATCTTCGCCGTGATCGAGTTCGTGCTGTCCCTGATCGCCGCCATCATCAGCTGCCTCGGACTCTGCACCGGTTACCATGGACACGAGGTAAGCCTTAGTTACCATGGACACCAGATTATGGCTACTTATTATGTTCACGGGGTAAGCCTTCGTTACAATAAACAAAAGATACGCATATCTGACCATTGTTTCATATACTTCAGAGAGGGAACACCCAATTTGCCACGTTTCTTTTGAATCATATTTTTCAAAGGCAAATTTCAGAGCGAAGGGATGTCTTGTTGTTATATTGATTTATTATTATAAGTTCTGTTTTTTGACGTTTTACATACGTGATATCGTGATGATTCATCGAATGGGCGGTAGAGTGGTGAATTTGGGGCCCTTTTCGTTATAGTCAGTCACGTATCTATGATAGCATGATGACAACTTGCATTGTCATCGCATTGTACAGCTTTATCTGTGATATTTTCAGTGTCATATTTCTGGTGGCTAAATTTGTATACGACCAGTACATTAGAGGTATATTATTATGCTATCATGAAAGTTCATCTGTATGGTAGTTACATGTTTAAAGTTAAAACTTTTGGTCCAACACAAAAAATTCTCTCACCTAGAGCTTTCGACCAGTCACTCTGATCTTCCTCAGTAGACTGACCCAGTGAAGCTTGTCACGTAGCTTCTTTGAAGTGTGACGTCAACACTGGGTCAAAGGTATCTGGTAGACGATGTCGGCCTCCGTCGCGGTTCAATGTAGAGGTACATTATTGATGTTTTTTTTTTTTTACAATTTTTGTTGTTGCTGACCCCAGGCCCCAGCTATCGTGGTGTATGACGGGACCAAGGCCGTAGCCCTGAAGCCAGGCCAAAGGGCAGTGCAGCAGCCGGACGGGTCCATCAAGATTGTTGCCTCAGGTAGGGGGGACACTTTTTTTAAGAAAAAAAAAAGAAGAAAACACAGTACGAAGTAGATACGACAAGAGAGGAGCTGAAATACACACAGCGTCAAGATTTTCACAGGAGACAAAACGAAAGTCCAAGTTTTTTTTGTATCATTTTTTCCCTTTCTTCTGTGTTGACCTAACACCACTTTGATTTTGTCGAATTTTAAGTTTTGTTTTTCAATTTCTCTAATTTATGTTATTTTGTCATTTTCTGTTTTCTTTTGCCCTCCCCAACAACTCCCCAACTATCCTTACCACGACGTTCCACCCTTCTCCCAATAAAAACTGACCCTAACTTCCCTTCTATTTGAATAATTTTCACGTTAATACTTCTTTTCTTTTAATATTTTTTCTTATAACTAATCCACATTTGTTTATTTTGTGCCGGTGCAGAGCCTAGTGCCTAATTCCGGGTCTCAGACTGACACTGATGATTGAATTAAGTTTTAGGTGAGTCTTTCAACAGTAGAGAAAAACATGGTGGTCTCGGCGCCATTTTGAATATTGGCGCATGCGCGCTAAAACCAACAACTCATCCTTGTCAGGGTTCTCATGAAATTAACAATGTACTCGTACTGTCGTCTGTAGTGAACTTACATCCTAAATCGTCCCTTGTTCGAGTCTGCGTCTTCATGTCGTCTGTTTATTTTTCATTTGTGTCTTCCCTGCCCACCCTCTTGACCCAAAGAACGAAGCCCCCCTCCCCCTTCCCTACCACCATCCACATCTACGAGAAGACCCGTTTTGTTTGATATAGAACCTGCTTTGCCTATTTCTGGTAAGTATTTGCAGCTCGCGGCTTGGCATCATTTGTGTGGTATTCAGTTCTTGACGAGACCGTTTAAAGACTGTTTGAGATTAAGCGACAACTGACGGGCACCGTAGGTCATTTGCAGTCACGTGACTATGACGTAAGTTGCGGCCGCCATGTTGGTGGGTTAGAGACACAGGCATTATGGGAAGGGTGTTCTGAAAAAGTTGACCCAGCTTTAATATTCATGAGTATTTTAAGATAACTATGAGTACAGTAATTTCATTCTTTGTATTTGCAATTAGATTCAAAGATATCTTTAAACCTCATTGACCTATCCACCCTTCAAGCACAAAGGCAGCAGCACCCTAAACCACCCTAAAACATGACGTATTGGTGCTTGCTGATCAGCTAGCTGTTGAGTGATCGACTAAATGGTCCAGGTGAGTGCAGTGCCATCAGGTCCAACACCACGATGAAAACATCAAAGCGCTTTTCTTGTTACTTCCAGGTACCCCGAAAGAAGCGACCCCTGACGTCCCCAAGGATACTGCAGAGACAATCACTGAGACTGCGCCGCCTGCCGAGTCCACGCCGGAACCGGAACCGGAGGCCAAGCCGGAACCGGAAGCCGAAGCTAAACCGGAACCGGAACCGGAGCCCGCAACTCCATCCACACCGGAATCGGAAGCAACAACAGAACCGGCATCGGAACCGGCAGCTGAACCGGAACCGGAAGCAGCAGCCGAACCGGAACCGGAAGCAGCGGCTGAACCGGAACCAGCTAGCGTCTAGCATGCGTAGAGGATAGAACAATTCTGTTGAAGTGAATAGGAATATGCCAATACAATTCGTCTACAAATTCCAAATGTGTACATTCCTACAGTATTATTTGGAAGGACACAAATCTAACGTTTTCCCTTAATTAATATAACCTCTTTTGGTTAATTTTTAAATTTGGTCAACCGAATTCGTCCAATATGAAACCCTACTACGGACACCTATGACAGACATCCGGATATCCTTTTTTTTAGATTGAATACTTTCAATTCAACACAAATTGAAGCTAATGAAACAATTAATTCCTATTTTCTTCATGAACAGGTTGTTGAGAGCTATTTCTATGGGATTTCTCATTGGTGCTGTTATTATTGTGTACATACAAGTCATAGTTAGTGTTTGATAGGAAACAGCTTATCAGTATTATTAGTGCTCCTTTTAACCCCCTACCGGCACGCTTACAAACTGCAGCAAGGGCTTTGAGGGAAAATTGCTCTAGCTTTAGTGTAAGAGCAAGCAAAGTTCCTCTAAATTAAAAAGCTAACACAAGATTTGAAGGCAATATACAACGTTCTGGACTTAAATATTTCATGGCGATGCTATTAGGTGGCATTTGCTAATTATATGTAGTGTGTATGAAGTTATTTTAATTGTAAGATTTCTTTTTGACATACTGTTATCTTTTAGATTTAGATGTAACAAGTAGAACTGTAAAGTGTATAAGGTTAATCTTATGTTAACTGGTTTTGTCAATGTGTCAGATATATTTTCTTGCATGTAAGAAGAGTTGTTTCCTGCTTTTCCTTTTTGTAAAAAGTAGCATTTCTACTTATTTCTGGTAGTGGTATCGTCAACAAAAACAAAACTTCCCTGTTTTTAGTATCCAGTAATCATGAAATGATATACGTTTGCTATTTTATTATTGCAATATGAGTTATATGGGTCAAGAACTAAAAAGATTATCACTGAGAAGTTATCATATTAAACTGTTTAAACTATGTTTAACAACAGAATGCATAACCAATTGCAAACGACACGGAGGTATTGTAATGAATATACTTCTAACAATATTTCGCAATTGCTAACTGCCCAAATTTGTCACGTGGCCATGGCATTGTAAAAGCATTTCGATGCATGTTGTGGTACCACGTATTGACTTAAAAACGACCCCTATCGGACAATTTGTAACAACAGTCAACAACATATAGTTTGGCATCGTAATGCTAGCCCATATAACGTTTAAGTACCCTTTGACTATTCAATCTTTCCCAAGTTTAGTCTTTTGATAACACAGCTAAGATTTTCATATTTTTGACGAATATACTTCGTATATTGTTTCTAATAAAACCATGACAGTATTGTATTTTATGATTGAAACGCATTTATTTACTAGCATGATTTGGACAATATTCGACAAAACTCACAACAGAGAACATAGTACTGTAGCTAGCGTGGATTTTGAGAGGTTGCATCTTTGAGGATATATTTTTGCTACGGGAGCGCCTTTGGTGTCGAAAGAAGACTATTTTTCTGCTTGAAGTTAACGTATAGCGAGTGTTACAGCATTGTGTTCTATCTAATCTGTACAAAGAAGTTGGCTTGGTATGTAGGAGAGATACTAACATGCTACTGTGCTAACTCAACAGGAAACGACAATCGCATGAAATTTACTCTGAAATACAAATTAGAATTTAAAATTTCACAACTTTCGCTTAGCATTTGGCATTGACAAATTGAAATTTAGTAGTTTGATAAGGCCACGGGTAGTCTAAACTGCAATGAATTGGCTTGATGTCTTGAAGTAAACTTAAGTTGAAGCGTTTGACAATCAAACCAAAGTCGACATTGCTGTGTTTGCAAATATACTGTAACAGTGGACCTATTAGAACTGATGTTAGCTATCGCAGTATAGTCAAGTTCAAGTAAGGAATCCTGGTAATAATGTTGTTTCACAGCGATTGGGCGCGGTTTTTACAGTGTTGACAATAAAGTTTTTAAAATAAAACAGTCTTACGTGTTTTTTTCTGTCGTCACTCGAGACTCGTAATAATAGTAATAATAGTAATACAGTCATTTTCTCTGAAGCTACATTGACGTTGACACGGACATTGAAAATACTACTTGTCAAAAACGTAAAAGGAAATTAAAGTTTATTTAAATATCCTTTGTAACAGGAAAATTTAGCTAGCAGCGAGCTTTAACCTAAGTTGCATACATAAAGTTTATGCCCTAACCTAAGTATTAGCATGCAAATGTATTCTCTATTTATTCATACTATTCCGTATGCCTAGGCAACATATACACAGCTGATTCTTGGTGCTGATGCAGATCACAGCACAGGCCATATAGTCGCCTCTCGTCAGAGAGATACAAATCTACAATGGACAAACCATAAACGATCTACATGTACGCCCTAAGATATTTTTAATACACCTGGATAAGCTTTTTAAATGATGATAAATTAATTCCTTGCCGAGTTGTGGTTGGTAACGTTAACTATAATACATTAAAACTTATCATTAAAAAAGTCACACACAGTCACTCACACAACTTGTAGCACCATAGTAGCCGAGGTTACCAAAGCCGGCACCTTTGACTTAAAATCTACAGAATGAAAAGAACTTAAAGGTCTCAGAGGTAAAAAGTACGTTTCAGGAATATCTGAATACACCGTGGCATTAGAGACACGGTCTGGGGGGAAAAGCTATTATCTTATGTTCGTAGCCCTGTTGTCGAGGGAAGTTTCGTGTGATCACTTGATACTTGGTCTTATTGAAGCCGACTTGGATAATATCTATACTTCTTCTTTCTTGACATCTAAACGAGAAGAAAGAGAGAGATACAATACAAAGAGTAAGAGAGAGACAGAGAAAGAGAGGAATGCAGTAAAGCCAGACTAAAGCCTTTACAAAGCACCCTTAAAGTTAGCAAGTCAGTTTGTTAGCATTTAAAAAGTCGCGTTGATTATATGCAAAGCAATAGATGGCATTCCAGTGTGCGTGTGCAGTGTACAAGTGGCAAATAGGTGGTGCACTCACCTTCGACCTCAATAGTACCGACCGGCTGCTGTACTGCCCTTTGACCTCCTTCCAATTTTGTGGCGCGAACTCCGTCATAAACAACAATGGCCGGTGCCTGGACACGGAGATTCGAGGTTAAAAATGCAACAAACTTTATATAATTTACTAAAAACAAGTTTGTCTTAACTACAAAACGTTAGAAAAAAAACCTCTCATCATTACAACGGAAATTATACATCTGCAAAACAACCCCTTTAATGTTTATGTTAACCGAAGGAAACATATTGTTTTTGCTCTGTTTCCTCCTCTCCTTCTACTTCTCCAAACCAATAAGGTCAATGACCTGAACCAGACGTCTGTCACCATGGTAACTAGTGTTGGGTTACATCATGTTGCAATGCAGGAGGGATTTAGACTCCTGTCTGACCATATATTTGAATGGGTTTGGGTAAGAGAATTAACAGAGCAGACCATATGCGGAGGTAAACATTTGCATTTGCTTTGGAAATGTTACATTTCTAGTTCTTTCAATCAAATCTTAGAATATGCAAATTATTTGTGACGTACCTCGTGTCCATGGTAACCGGAGCAGATGGCGGCACAGGAGATACAGGAGAGAATGGCTGTCAGGATCACCTCAGCAATGGCGCTCAGAAGTACCAGCACAATTATCGCCACGTAGTTGTCCTGTCAAGTAAAAAAGAAGAACATACTAGTATGCAAACTCATTGTTAATTAAAAAATATAAATATCACTGGTCAAGGGAATCGAACTGCAACATTTCTTTGTTAATTTGTTTAACATTAGCAGGAAAATTCAGCTATGTTGTTTACTAGTATATAACACCATGGATAAGGATGTAAATGTGTTTTCACGTCATATCTATATAAAGAGGGGGGGGGTCAAAATTTAGACCAGCCGTTTTCAGAATAATTAAAGGACGGGGGCCGATACCAACTTCTAACGACTTTGCACACGTTACAGTAATCAATCACGGGTTGTGCACAATTGGATCGTCATTTACCACAACGCCTTCTCCCTTACTTTTTTTCCTTGAGTTTCTTTTACGATGATGATGATGCTCATTTACCCTAAAAGAAACTCAGCGAAAAGGGTTGAAAAAATGAACTTACATAGTACGGCCAGTCCTTGTACACTACCCTCCTGAAGCTGTCTGTCGAGGTTTCGGGTGCTGCAGTTTCCTCGTCAGCCTCACGGCGGCGTCTTCCATCGTACAATAACTCTGCTGTCACGGCAACCTGGTTCCAACACAGGGAAACAGAAATAAGATATAAATAAGTAAATAGATAAGATACAAAATCTAAACGACACGATTATGCATTTCAGTTCAAACCCAAAAACAAGACTTATTATGTTTACCGAGGAAAAAAAGGTATTGTTTTTGCTCTGTTTCCGTTCCAAACATTGACCTGGTCAATGACCTGGACCAGATCGTCTGTCACCATGGTAACATCATGCTGCAATTTTATAGTAGGAGGGATTTAGACTCCTGTCACCATATATATGAATGTGTTTGAGTAAGAATTTATAGAGCTCGAGCAGACCATATGCGAAGGTAAACAATTGCATTACGCATTTGCTTTGCAAATGTTACCTTTCTAGTATCAGTTCGTTATAGATGTCGTAATCATTAACACGGTGTTTCAACCTTCTCCCGGTAAGTTTGTGTCTGTGAATCTGATTGGAATACAGATGCAGTAATGTATATATATATGTACAGGTAATGCCTTAATGATACAGACCTCATTAAAGTCAATTGGAGTGAAGGGCAGTTCAGTTGTGGTTGCGTCAGCGTCCCCACCAGCAAACAGCTACAAAAAGAAACAAAACAAAGTTCGTTGGATGCATTTTCTGTGCCCAATTCGGTATATGCTAACTATAAGGTCATAATTTCCTGAACGGGGCCCGGCCGAGCATTCCAGGAACGAAAAATATGATATAAAAGAAACAAACGCAAAAAAAAAGAAATTTAAAAATATAACAAAGAGTACAAAGTACAGTAATTTTATACGATTTTTTTTTTCTTTCACGTTGTTTCTTTCATGTTGTTTTTGCTCTGTTTCTTCTTCCGTTCCAAACACTGATCTGTGACCTGGTCAATGACCTGAACCAGACCGTCTGTCACTATGGTAACTGGTGTTGAGGGACATCATGTTGCAATTTTATAGTAGCAGGGATTTAGCCTCCTGTCACCATATACATGTATATGAATGTGTTTGAGTAATAATTAACAGAGCAGACCACATGCGAAGGTAAACCTTTCTAGTATATGATATGTTCTCTGATGATATGTTCTCTGACATGATATGTTCTCTGATATGTACGTAAAACCATCATGATGCCATTCATAAAACCATTGGGCTCACGTCTTTAACGGTCACGGCAACTTCCTCGTCCAACTGAATAGGTGTGAACGGGAAGTCGGTGGTGGTAGGAGCGCCGGTGGTCACGGGCTCGTCCCCGGGCCCCGCCGGGCCTGTGATCGGGATGAGCTTGGTGTGCGTCTCGAAGGCCTCGTCGTAGTAGATGTCCGACTCCGTGCCGAGCTCGACAAACGCCACCAGAACTGTTGTGACCGTCGCGAGGAGGGCGAACAACACGCAGACCAGGAACGTTGTAACCTGAAGAAGAAAACGGTACGGATTGTGAGTTTTTGTACGGCCCATAAAAAAAAGAAAAAAAATACCTACGCATACAACAGTACAGAAGAATACAGGAGATCGAATGGTGTTATAACACTAACAAAGAACTACCATCGTAAACATTATACTAATGTTACAGTGATATTATGTACGATTTTTACTATTCTAAACATTGCTGTTTTACACATTTTCATGCTTCCTGTATTCATAATGAAATCTGGGGAGTAAAAGATCAACGTCGTTGCGCCACAAAAACGTGTGGAAGCTGCCGAAGATATCAGAACGAAAGCCGCTGTCTGTTTACATTCTTTCTAGCCCCAAAAAATACAACGGGCCCCGGCGCAACTTATTCTCGCGCTGCGCTGAGTCGCCGGAGAAGCGAAACAACGACGCTAATATGTTGATTTTTTATACGTTGAAAGTTATTTAATATGACAATCTAGATGAGAAAATGTCAATTATTTATATTTACAGTTTTGGCGCAAAAATCTTACACATTATCCCTTTAAGTATAGCGAAGTGCATTTAGCTATAATTCGCTAGGTGTCGTTGTTGTACGTACCAGGCAGCCGTCGGCAGTGTTGTACGAACTTCTGATTGCAAATATACCCGCCAACAAGACCTGAAATAATCAACAAAATAACAAAACTCCAATATCAACAATATCAATAATATCAAATGTTTTGTTAGCGGTCGTAGCTTATAGCTAAAAATAATAATAATAATAGTAAAAAATCATTATACCAAAAGACATTATCATATAGCCGGGCGACGTCGACCAATGAGAAGCCTCCATTTCCCATCGGTTATAAGGCCGTAACATCATAAGCGGTGAATAATGAAAAAAATGGTCGGTTATTAGAATATACTCCTTCCCGGGCAAAAAAAGCTACCTATCATCCCAAATTCATGACCCCATCATGTTAGGATGGCTAGATATCAATATTATTGGTTATCAGGAGGTAACATCAGAAGTGGTGAATAAAGAAACAAGTGGTCGGTTATTAGAATATACTTAACAGAACCCCGCTCCATATGGGAGCGCCCACGTGCGCCACCAGAGGCACAGTGTTCTATTTCCCATCGGTTATCAGGCCTTAACATCATAAGTGGTGAATAATGAAAAAAGTGGTCGGTTATTAGTTTAAGAATAGCTACTTACCAGAACCCCGCTCCATATGGGAGCCCCCACGTGCGCCACCAGAGGCACACAGTAGCCGTGACACGCGCCCAGTCCGATCACGCCTAGTAGGATACTAAAGATGCCCAGGAACAGCAGGGCGACTCCGAGGAAGAACGCCCCGCGCACGCTGTATCCTGTCGTTCTGCACATCGTCTGGAAATAACAGGGAACATTATGCAGGCATAAGAATAATAACTTTACTGCACAACAATTGTACAGTGCACTAAGTACGCGTATAGCATCTACTAGTACATATTAACTACACTTTCGTAAGACTAACCTAAGATCTTCCCCCAACCGGGACGGGGGGCGGTACCGACTTCCAACGAACTTTGACCCAGTGCTGACGTCACACATGTGGAAAAGCCACGTGTCTACAACATTTGGGGGTCAGATTCTTTGACAAACTCCAGTCTTTGTCAATGAATGTCACAGAAGCAGTGGATCTCATTGCAACGACTTCTTGTCGAACGTGTTTCACGATATTTTTTTCAATTCTTTTCCAAGTATCGGTCGGGGACAGTTGCCAATGTCTTTGTCCAGTGTCAGATAGAAAAGTGGGCAGGTCTCAACATCGGATGTCATAAAGTATGCCCCTCTGCAGCTCAGAAAATCCATCAACTTGACAGCTCTACGATCGACTGTGGCCTTGCATGTGTTGTTCAGGTTGGATTTGGTTACATATCATCTTGTGTACCAGTTGTGGCCTACATTCTCCTATCTCACATTACAATATTATATTACTTTGTTTATATTTCTGTTTGGAAACACCATCATGGTGATATACATTAAACAACGATAAAATTAATGTCGTAATATCGATGTGATTCTTTTTCATACTATTAGAGGTGCCTCTACAACAAATGTCTTATGTAGTGGAAAAAGAACAAAATTTTATGATAATGAAACTATTTCAACATCATGTAATGTGTTAATAAAATAAGCTACTCTCCAAACAGCGGTTTAGGGTTCGGCTCAATTTTGACGTATTTTAATTCATTTTTATCGGGCTTTGTTTATTAATTGCACTGGTATCTTTTTAAATAGCAACTTTCCGGCAAATGGATACTAGTACTGTGTGGCAAATTGATATTGTATTTGCAGCCGACATAAGATCTTTTTGAAAATTAAAAATAAGCATGTTGTGACAAAAGACTTCATGTTGTTTATTCGCTAATTATATACAGCAAATATGGCTCTTTGGACGGATCAATAAAGGCTGTAAAAACGAAACTTTGTGATGGAGATGGACAGGAGTATTGGAGGAATGTCAGCATGGTTTGTACATAGGGTCATATAACACCTCATGACCTAATTCAACCCTTAGAAAAACAATCTGCTCGGTAAAAAAAATAGCAAGTGGCGAGACGCCAATGGGGAAGGGGGCGTGTACAGAACTCTGTGTACTGTGCCTGTGGGAGGGTTTTTTTCTATAAATTTCTTTTCATAATGTATATAGCAAAGTAATATAATTCTATTCTGAAAAATCAGTTCAGTTCTATTCATCCACTAGGTAGGCGGTGACATCAACAATGTATCTTCATATCGTATTCTGGAAAATACTTGGATGGTATTGCTTGCAACCTTACCTTCAGTTTTCGTCCAAGTGACGATTCTTTCTCGTCAATTTCTTCCTTTCTGAATCAGAAACAAACATAGCAAAAAGCTTAAATGGAGGGACTTTTGCAAGAAGTTTAAACTTACAACATGTATGTCAAAGAAACGCATATAGTATAGCAGACGACCAAGGATAGCCTGGAATGCTGTACATCGGATGCCCATACATGACAGGAGTGGGCATTTTCTGCTTTCTGATGTGGCCACAGCTAGTAGACATGCAATGAAATCGATAACAGAAACTTTCTAAAAGTATTTTGAAGATTAACAAGTTAATGAAACGCGTAACTTACCAGGTATTGCTGGTTTCCACTCTCTCGGTGTCCGCGCGATGGAATGAGCGGAGGGGCATCTATGACTGCACCGCGCACGCGCTCGGCGGTGATACGGTACCCCGAGTTGTACAATTTTTGGCCCAGGTCGCAGCTGTTTCTGTCTCTTAACCAGGGCCAAGCGACGGGGACCGGACAGCGACCTAATGACACCAAAATCTCCAAGCAGATGTGCTTTTGTTTGTTTCGCATAACCGTTTGTACACCAGTTATGTACAGTGAATACAATAATATTTCAATGTCATGACTTTATTCCACTCATAAGATGATAAGACTATCATAATCACCGCTTTCTTCCCGAAAATTAGCATAATATTGTATACTATTGACAAAACAAACATAATTTTATATAATCCAAATAAAACCGGGAAAGTTCTGTGTCACCTTCTACATGTGTAGATTGTAAACTAAATGTTAAAAAAAACATAACACCAAAATAGTATAACACTTTGTAGATCAACTGTTCGGTAGATCTAACAGTGCAATATAGTAAATAATTCCAAATGGTGTAACAGAGGCAGTGCCCATCTCTGAAGTATAGCCCTTTGGTCTCTACAGTAAAACACTGTATGTACTCCACTGGTTAAGCCTTAAGGTAGTGTATGTTCAATTTCCATATGAGCTTAGCAAAGTTAGAAGTATGCATTATTTTCAAGTTGTTGTTAGTATGACCTGGTCAGAGTTTGAATCTCCAACACTGCTGGGGTTTGAACCCCTAACCTTCCAAATGCAAGGTGAAAACACCCTGGGGTATACATGTATAATTATGCAAATACGCTATATAGAACGTCAGGAGAATGTTGCATCAGTATTTTCCCCATTACAGACAGTATCTTTTCTGTAACGACATCTGTAAATTATAGATGGGATGTCATCCTTAAATACACAAATACAACCTTAAGGACGATGTGCTATGCACAATAAATTACGGGTTTCGCGCAGGCACAGTGGGTTCTGCCAACGTGTACAATAATTCATGTCTTGATCAAGTCATAAACCCGACTTTTTTTTGCCCTGTGGTGGCATACTTACTTCCACATCTGTTGCGTTCCACTGCGGTAAAATACATTGCACGAGAAATACCCCCAAATCGTACCTGTACAGGGTGCTATAGCATAGGGATGGTACTGTATGTGCAGAACAACAATTGTTGGCCACCACACGACTAGAGTTTTAAGAGATGACTGCTACTGGTCTGTCTTTAAAGTCGTCCAAGAAGAGCGTTGAGAAGATATCGTTGAAGAAGTTGGGGTGATACTTGCAGGCTCGATCACAGTCTGGGCAGAAGTTCACCTCAAGTAACACTGGCTGCATAGTCCTCTCTCCTGAAGTGGACAAAAACATAAAATCATTTCTTACTCTTTTACTAAAATTTTGAAATCTAGATGTACTTCTGCTTGAAAATACTTGAAATATACACTGTACTTTACCTTCAACATAAGAAATACAGCTTCAATTTTACTTGCACAAAAAATGTGCATATGCACCAAGTATTTCGAGCCCTGCCATAACTAAATACAAATTTTGTGTCAAACAGCTAACTTAGCATTCTGAATCTCTGAATTTCCTATATCTTATAATCTGTATTCTGTTCTTCTATTTCCTGCACTGAATACACAATACATGTAACCCTTCTCTCTGCTCTTGTATTTCTCTAGTGGCACAGTCAAATTCATTGTAGGTCGGAAGACAATTTTGATGCCATAGAAGTTTCAAGCAGGCTATGACAAAACCAACTATACTGACAAGGACCTAAGGCAGTCTTTTTGCAGCAAGACGTACATGTTCAGGCCCTCAGTTTGAGATCATACAACTGCAACTATCACAAGACGTAAGCGGCAGTAGCCTCTTACCAGGCTTCAAGAGACGGCTGGAAAGAGTAGGAATTGGCCAGATACAGAGATCACATGCCGAGGGAGTTGGTCTGAAGGCACCAAAATGTACTCTATTGGACAAACTGCCTCGGCATGTTATCTCTAGATCTTTATTTGGCCAATTTCTACTCTTTCCAGCCGCCTCCCAAAGCCTGCTGGTAGAGGCTTAAGTGACAGGGCACTTACCTTGTTCACCCCTTTTCCATTTCAGCATGAGATCAATAGCGTAGATTGACCTGGACATGGGGTAATGCCCGATCCCACACGGAGGCTCTCTACTCACAGCTGACTCAAACAGCTCTCTGAAGGCACCGAAAATGGACGACTAAGGGAAACAGAAGAAATCTGATTAGAAAATATTCACATTTCTCCAGGTTGCAATCTTCCCACCAAAATACAACCAAAAGGATATAAATTAGGAAAGAACTTGGCGACTCTTACATTGTGGAGTTGCTGTGTACATGTACTTCTAAGTGTGTATATTTGGAAAGAAAAGGGCACGTAAAACAATATAGATACATGTATACATGTAATGAGGAAAATGGAAAATGGCATTACATGTACCTCTACATCCTTCCATGGGAAGTCTGGGTACTGCTTTTCAAAGATGGGGATGAAGTCGTCATAGTGAACCTGCAATGGGGGCAAATAAACATCTTCAATCAAGACACTCTGTCACAGTAGGCAGATGGCCACTATCTTAATGAAATGAATCTCAATACTTGGGTCAATGGGCAATAATCTAAGGGCCACAGTGGCCATGTGGTTCAATTGTACATGTATGCAGGTCTCTAAGCTGTACTACACACCTGATGTAACTTAGTACCACCTTCTGTGTAGTTCATCACTGTGAAGTGTTTCTCATATTCATCCAGGTGGTCCAGGGAGAAGGGTCTAGAAAGAAAAGAAAAATATTTGCATTTTGTCAGAATAGGTCTGTTGCAAGTACAAGACTGGTATTATGCAATATGTGTAAGTCAATGTGTATTGTACAATATATACAAGGGCATCATATACATGTACATGTAAATGTAAGGAAAGGGACACAGATTAAGTCAGGACTTACTTGTTGGCGAATCGTAGCCAGAACACCTTGTAGGTGAAGAGTTTGAGTGGTTTGACCGACTGAAGCATGACGATGTAGCGAATGTCCATCTTCACCTGTCCAACGTCCTCTCTGTAGTACAGAACTGGGTCCTCAAGGTACTTACACGCAACCTGGAGCAACAATGATCCAAGAAACAGTTACAAGGTGTCTTCTAGCCAGGGCCCATCTTTCTCGAATTTGACAGCATTTTGCCGATCATGACAGAGAAAAATACTGGCCAATCTGTCAAATTTTGGCAGCAATTTGACTTCAAATTGGAGGGTGATGATTTCAAAATTTTGCACCGTCTGTACCATGATGCTATGTGAAACAAAATTGAGATTACAACAGCTGGGATTGGAACTACCAACCTTTTGGTCTAGAGTCAGGGCTGGTAAACACAGGACTATGCATGCTACATAATGTATGTAAATAAAAAATCATTGTGACTGCAATGCAATGTCTTTCCATATGGACACAGATCCAGAATATGATACAAATGACTATACTTCTCCTCCGTGAATAGTTTCATCAGGTTGGTAAGACACTGAGTAAAGAGACTCTTTTCTTCACAACAAAATCTTTTATTCATCCGACGTTTCTGTTGTAACTATTGTAACTAAATGTAAATATTGTACATTTGGGATATCTATAGCAGCAACACCTGTGCTGTGAAACAGTCAGAATCACACTGAGGAATGCGACAGACGGTCACCGAAACGTCAGCTGAATAAAAGACTAAGTCTTGGTTGTGTAAAAGAGTCTCTTTGCTTCTTCTTTTTTTTCATAAAAACACAGAAGATTGTGTCTGGTCTAGCTTGATGACAAACCTTAGGAGAAGTCTCTGACAGCCTGATGATATGATGTAGTTTGTTGGTAACCTGAGTGTCCAGACCTCGTGCCAGGTTCCACGGCTTCAAGATCCAGTGGTTATCCAGACCCCTGCATGTGCAAGAGGAGGAGGTTACTAAAAGTCAAGTACTATAGATACAAATTATTGGCCCAAAGGGTTAATTCATATTTTTAAAAACAAATTTTTCTTAGATATTACGTACATGTACCAGTCTTTTTTCGTATCAATGACTTAACTCTAACTTGTAGCTGCTTTTTTCTAAGTCTTTGATTTAAATGGTTGGTTCTTGTTTGTTTGTTTATTTCGATCCCCATTAGTGCTTAAAAGCACTATTCTTCCTGGGGTCAATAAAATGAAACATAAATAACAAAACTTGTACATAATGATGATTACAAAATAATAAAGTAAGTTCAAAATCCATAGGAGAGGTCAGAGGTCGACCTAAAAAAAGCACAAAATAATCTGAACATAATCCAGCGTTAATTTTCAACTGACCCAGAATCAAAGTAATTACATGGTGTGACCTACATTTGTACATTGTCATGTAGATGGTTGAAAAAACAACAAAATTCTGTACCTATTTTCTCGTTGTTGGAAACAGGACACAAAATGTGGGAGTGCCCAAGAGACGCCCTCTTTCCTGTGAAGTATTCATGCAGATGCAAGAAGTAGTAGGCAGTATATTTTTATTCAATGCTACGTGCCATTGCCTTTATTTTATTCTAATACTGTGCATGCCCATAGCCAGGGGGGGTTCAGAAGAAAAGGTCTACTTTTTGGTCCACTTTTTATGTAAAGGTCCACTTTTTGGTCCACTTTTTATGTAAAGGTCCAAGATTTTTCTTGAAAAGATGGACTGGAATCGCAGAAAAACTGCTCCCTTTGTCAATGAAAAAAAATTTATCTCTGATTTTTTTTTCTTTGAAATCCTCTCCAAAACACACGAAATGCCATTTTAGAAGGTTCATTTTTCAAAATGCATGCCCCCGAACCCCCCTAGGAACCTCACGCCTTCGGCGCTCGCCTCGTCCCCTCAAGCAGTGGGAAGAACCCCCCATTCAAAATCCTGGCTACGGGCATGCTGTGCTCTTATTTTGTGACCTATTTTGTGTGAGGTATGGGAGGGTCTTTAAAGTCATCTTGTAGTAACTGTTAATTAGTTTTTTTTAGCTCTTTTCCCTTTTATATAATTATACTAAAAGTTGACTAATACCTTTCCTCTCTTTGTTGAAAACTTGACACAAACTTTGGGAGTGCCCAGGAAAGGTTAAAGGTCGTTGGCAGCCATTTTGGTCCATTCTCCAGAGCTCCTGGCTCCTGATTGGTTACTGTCGCTTGACCAATGTACGCCAGGCAGTCTTTGCCAGTCAGGATACCCTCAAAGGGGAACTGGTTCAGGTATACCTCAGGGCGCTCTACACTGAAGGTCCTGTGTGTTAAATTATTATATATATATAAGAACAGTTAATATATATGTGTATATATATATATAAATAACTGTAGGAAGAACTAGAAAGGTAACATTTATAAAGGAAATGCATATCGATTAAGATGGTCATATACATGAACTAGTATATATTTTTGGAGACCAGCCCCTCCAACTTGCTACATAATGTAACCCAACACCACAGCACCATGGTAACAGCAAAGTGGTTCAGGTCATTGACCTTATTTGTATGGAGTAGAAGAATATGAAATGGAGCAAAAACAATATTTCTGCAAATATACCTATAACTCAAAAGCACAAATACAAGTGTCTACCTCATACTTAACAACAACAACAAAAAATTCAATCTTAATTTGTGTAGAAATCCTACTTGAAGTCTCTGATATGATCTTTCATCCAAATGATATCTGCTTGGCTTTCCTCCTCCACTAGTTGGAACCGCGAATCAGTCAGGTTGTCTCTGATCACCTGGATGTCTGTGTACACTTTGTAAGGTGCTTCCCTATTGGTCAGTGGATTCCTGGTGGCTTCTGGGATTGGTAAAGTCTCCCTGGATCCTTTCAGTCTAGCCTGTAGAACAGAATAAATAATATTGTTTTTTTTCTGATTACAAAGATTAACTAAATTAATGACATAAAATACATTATGCCAGGTTTCACCATGCTTTTACATTTCTATATCAAGATACATGTACATGTAGATAGAATGTTTGCAGTTGTGTGTTTTGCCCTATTATGATACATGTACTTAATATATTCACAGAATTGTTTTTGCTCTGTTTCTTCTCAAAACAAATAAGATCAATGACCTGAACCAGACGTCTGTCTAACTAGACTGTGTTAGGTTACATCATGTTGCAATTTCATAGCAGGAGGGATTTAGACTCCTGTCGCCATATATGAATGTGTCCGAGTAAGAATTAACAGAGCAGACCATATGCGAAGGTAAACATTATGCATTTGCTTTGCAAATGTTGCCTTTCTAGTATAATAATAATTAGCAGTCATTGACTATAAACTACATGTACACAACATACCGCGAAAAATGCATCGTCTATTGAAATTCCTTCATTCGGTGTGATGTGAGTAAAGTCCTCTGGTATCCAGGCAAGAAGCCGACATTTTCTCTCCGTTTCGTCAGATAGTCCGTCAGCAAAATCCTTGGTCAACTCATCTGAGGAAATTATGAAAATCAAAGTTAGCTGGTTGTACAACTCGAGACAAAATGTACTTCAAGACAACCATAGGCTTATAAAACTGCAAATTAAACCGTGAATAATTTCATCAGGTTGGCAAGAGACTGTACAAGAAGTTTTTCAACCAGGTGTGTGTGTGTGGGTTTCATTAAATTATCCAACATTTCAATGACTGTCTGTCACCTTCTTTAGGGCAACAATGTTTGGTTCTAAGTAAGAGACTCTTTTTACACAACCAAGTGTTTTATTCAGCTGACATTTCAGTGACTATCTGTCCCCTTCCTCAGGGCAATTCTGACTGGTTCACATTGCACTGCAGCACAGGTGTCGCTGCTACAGATGCATTCCCAAACGTACAATATTTACATATCTACACATTTGTGTGATTACAGGGAAATGTATCTACAAATTATAATGAGGTCCCTAGAGTCTCTTTTCTCCGTGTCTTACCAACCTGATGAAACTATTCACAGGAATGTCTGGTAGTGGTTCTGACTCGTACTGCTAGAAGTTGTTGCTCTTGCAGCAATGCAATGTCAGAAATGCAGTCCCAAATGTAGAGTGTTGTCAACCTTCTCTCTGCTGCTTTTCTCCAAATTACTTTTTTTTTTTTAAACCGAATCTAACGTCATTTTTTCCCCAACCGGGGGTTAGACGTGCTTGCACCAGGTACAAGTCTTTTTTTGAAGCAAGATTTTTACGGCTGGATACTCTTCCTAATGCCAACCCAAACCCTAGTAGGGCCCAGGAACCCTCTAACTGAGGGGGGAAATGCATGTTAAGTGCCTTTCCCAAGGGCACAACGTCTGGGTGCAAGTCCAGACATGTCTGGTAAACAAAATTTTGGTATCAAAGGAACAGAGTTAACAGACAAAGCACAAACCTCCAGAGTCCAGGTCCTGTAACAGCCACATGAGAGTGTAGGATGTTTTGGTGGGGACGTAGTAAAAAGGCACCATTCTGCACGTCGGCTCATCTGAGTGTTGGATCCTGGACCCAAACTCATCATTCACGTACCAGAACGCTATCCTGTCATCAGCAGTCTAGTACATGAAAACAATCAATAGTTTTACATAGAAAAACAAATCTGATATATTGTCAACAATGTAATCTGATTGACTGTTTTAACTAAAATTAGACTACCACACTTCAATTATATATTTAAAACAGAAAAAAAATACTTACAGCTCCCTGAAAGTCCAACTTATAATGCCAGGTAAACCTAGAAAAGAAAAAAAGAATTAACCATGCTTCAACATAATATATGAGATATGATATGAAATAACAAATGAAATCTCAAGTCATAATAATAATGCAGTTAATAGATTTATTAGAAATTGATTTCAAATTGATTTTTTCAGTTCCCAGTAACTTCTCAATATGTTCTTCAGGGCACTGCCATGTACTCAGAGTCTCAGAATTTCACAAACAAACAAACAAACAAACAAACAAACATCTAGCCCAGGACCTTCTCTGTCTTCTCTACTTCAGACATGTCCTCACATGTACATGTGTCAGTCAGGGCGACCATCCTTTCCAGAAGTTCCAAATAAACAAACAAACAAACAAACAAACAAACCTCCACATCTCATCCAGAACCCTCTCTGTCTTCTCCTCTTCAGACATCTCCTCAGTTATGTCCATCAGGGCGGCCATTCTATCCAGAAGTCCCAGGACTTTCTGTAGCTGTAACCGTGCATAACCGTACTGGAACGTCCACGCATGGTCAACCAAGAAGATACTGGGGACAAGAAGTGTGTAATGTTACAATACATGTAAAAATGTGCAGATACAGTTGTTTAAGTGGCTGAGCTTAAATATATATACCTAATTTCAAAGCAAAGCTAGTTTTTCTCCCAATCTAAAAAAGGAGAACTACTTTGTTTTTCATTTACATTTCGTGTACAAAGATTTTTCTCTGTGTTTGTATGTTTGTTTTCTTGTGTGTCCAAAGTTATTACAGTAGCTATTAGTATTACAGTCAGTAAAATCACAGGAAGTTGATGTAAAAAGTGCAGACTGTGCAGATATAAATTATAATTTATATTTCAACACCAGAGAAAGGGGAAAGACACAAGGTTGACACTGACTCTACCGGGTAAAACCTGTGCCACACAACCTTGTCTACCTCTGCTCTGAATCGCATGCAATAACCACTAGGCCAAAAGGTTCAGGACCCATTGGGCTGGGCAGTTGGTGATGCCAATAATATAATGCCAATATACTGCCTTGTTACATAAATGTATGTAAAGGTGTAGCAGAGGTTATACATGTAATCTACATAAATACCTGCTTGCGTCGCTGGTGTCCACTCCATCCTCACTTGTGACCACGACACACCAGCTGTGCTCCCCAGGGGTGGGGTTGTTCCTGTCCCCACCCCCCTCTTCCTCCTCCTCATCAGACTCAACTTGCATCATCCCAAAATACCTCCCCGCATCATAGACCTTGAGTTTTGTCAGATGACAAGAAATACTGTACATGTATACAATTTTATTTGCACAAAAACACTACGAATAAGAGTCACAAATTTATCGTATATGGCTTTGAAACATGAATATTTGACAGCACTGGATTTATTCCAGAGCTAAATCCTCTTTGATTACAGATTCTTTATTGACACAACAAAAAAGTAGAGACTTTTGTATGGTCTTCTACAACTTACATGTAACTTAAGATCTATATGTAACAAAGCTAAATACATGTGTGGATAACGTAATTCTGCAAGTCTAGAGCTGAGCACTATACTCGTCTATAGTAATACTGACAAATTTGCAGTATGGTTGGTAGAGCAAGAAAAATTGTAAAATGGTTCCATACCCTTTTCATGTCTATGACAATTTTTTCAAGTAATTTTCTAAATAAAACAACTGGACAAGTTTCGAAATACGATAGAGTTTCGTCAGATGACAAGAAATACTGTTACATGTACAAAATGTTAACGTTACAATTCTATTTGCAAAAAACACTACGAGAAAGATACACCAATTTATCTATAAATTTTGGCTTTCAAACATGATTTTTTTTGTTTGTTTTGGTGCTGAATATTTGACAGAACTGGATTTCCAGAGCTGAATCCTCTTCAGTTCCGCAAGTCTAGTGCTGAGTACTATAGATAGTACAGATAGTAATAGTATAGTACATACTGACTGGAGTTTTCCAGTGCTGACGGCCACTGACAAAAAGACTCGTGGCATTTCTATACTTGCCCTGCTGAATTAATTTTTTAGATACATGTTTCGTATGTTTTCATCGATTCCTGTGGCCTAGCTATATCTATTGTGTGTAGGCTTCCCAACATGTGCACCAGACACGTACCCCGCCCCCCTCCCCCTTCAGCACATTTCCCTCGTAATTTCAACCCCTATTCTTACTTCATCTCGGATCTTCTTTTGCACACTTGGCCAATAGATCTCGGGGACTCCAGAATTAACCAGCTGTCCTCGGTGTAACTTCAGAAAGGTAGGAAAATCCATCTGACGATGGTCGGCAGGTACGACTATAGCTTGCGGAGCGTCCGCCATGTTGCTTGACCTTTGACCGATACATTCCTGATGACCTAGATATTGTGTTATTTGTTTGTCTACATTTGACCGGTACATTCCTGATGACCTAGATATTGTGTTATTTGTTTGTCTACATGTTTGGTGACCATTCTTTGTCCTGATGACCTAGATATTGTGTTATTTGTTTGTCTACATGTTTGGTGACCATTTTTTTACCTGATGACCCAGATATAATTTGTGTTATTTGTTTGTCTACATGTGTGGTGACCATTTTTTTACCTGATGATCCAGATATTGTGTTATTTGTTTGTCTACATGTGAAGCAACCATTTTTTTTTTACCTGATGACCCAGATATTGCTATTGTGTTATTTGTTTGTTTACATGTTTGATGACCATTTTTTAGTTTGGCCACTATTTTTACTGATTTGCTTGGTTTTTACAGACATCTGCTCTTGATCTCTTTTATTCCATGAAAGCTTTTCTTTTTTCCAAAACAATAACAGATTGCTGAACGGTTAGGTTGGTAGAGCAAGAAAAAGTAAAATAAATGGTTCCATAACCTCCATATTCATACTAACCATTTTGAAGTAGTTCTCTAAACAATACAACAGGACCCAATTATGTACATTAAAAAGCACATAGCACGCTTGAATCTCACTTATTTTCTATATTTTATATACTTCCCCATCTCCTACATTAATTTTACATTGTAAAGGTGTATAACAGCAATACTACTAGTACTTTATCTACCTAAAATACCAACATACAAGAAAAGCAAAAAAGGTAAATAAATGTATGAAATTCAATACACTTGGTACTACATGTACAAGTGATTCGAACATTTTGAGCACAATGTATCTTAACTGCAACAAACTTGTACCCATTTTGCATGCTGTCACCGCATACCCCTTCACCGACGATAACAATAACTTTCAAGCAATTTAAAATGGGAAGATCAATATGATATGATACTAAAATAATGTGTTTATGTAATATTATAATAGCTTGCTTTATAACTATCCAAGGACACAGCCACTGCATTTACCCTGATTTAAACATTACAATTTATACATGTACAGTCAAAAGTAGTGTCCAACTAGAACATGTATGGTACAGCCTTAAATTTTTGCATTGTATTTTGCAGTATACATAAGACAACAGTTTATAATTGCTAAATGGCTTTTTACTATCAATTAACATCAATTTTTCAAACAAACTAAATATAAACCCAAAATAACCTAAACTTTTTATATGTCAAATTACTTGGCTTCAACGATTTCTAAACACACCACAATCCACATTTTGTTCAGGTGAACAACTTTTTTAGATAAAATACTAAAAAATTGTATCATATGACACTGAGGTAAATTATACATACATGCACATATGTACATACATGTATACACACAGTGAAAATGTAACTCAAAATGCTTGCCTGCATATGAAACAGGTAACATGCATACACTGCAGAAAAAAACGGAATGACATACAATGAACAATTTGCTTAATTTTTTTTCAACATTTCTAAAAGTTTTCCATCAGCAACAAAATATCAAAAGCTGAATACTTCCATATCTATCTTGCCTTTCAAAATGGCAGTTGAATTACTTTAAAACCACAAAGAAGGTGTATGTGTTATGCAAAACTTCTTGTGATTGGCACTCTTGAAAATAATTCTAGCAAATAGCACAAATTGTTGAATCATTTTGAATATGTACATTGTCACCCATATTGATAATCTAAATTCCTGAAGCTAGTCCCAATTACATTATACAAGGGACTTTAACAACACTCAATAACAGCATAAAGATATTATTGATAATAGATATCATGATGTTCTCAAATCAACTGTTGTGGTATTTTGGATAAAATTGTGATGACAGTTTTTTCTTGCCGACTGAGGTGCAAAAGTCACTACCTTAACTATGTTACACCAAAAAGTACCAACCCAAACACCTTAAATATTCCTATTTTCAACAAAACAGTTTTTAAAGTTCACCTCACTTTGCTTTTTAGTATCAAACTATGGCAAAAATTTAAACCGCAAAATCTCGCCACAACAAGAAAGCTTCCTAAAACACCACCCTTATAGTGTTAGATATTAATCAAACAATTACATTATTTCTTAAACATTGGACCTCTTGCATTGTTAAGTAGAGAGCCTGTTCAGTGTATGGCTTGGGTTGCTGAAATCATTTCTTGTCTGTCATGTTGAACAAGGCTCTCATGTCCAGCAGAGCTTTCTCAATGTTCTTCATGAATCTCTTGGAACTCTGAAAAATAAAGACAAAAGATTTTGTTTACTATAATCCAGAATTACCAAGACAACATACACAGGGTAGTTGTGTGCTTGGAAAAAACAAGGAATATGTTTGAGGTACATGTATATACAGTCATGTGTATGATTCTTGTTTTCCTATTTTTTTCTAGCTTTTATAGACATTTTGTCACGCTCTCAAAGTTTGTATTTTGATGGCTTCTCTTTCGGTATCCTGGCAAAGAAAAGCGGGTAGAAAAGAAGCCTAACAGGATGTCTAAAAAAGATTTGAAAAACATGCCTATCCTCTATTTAGAGAGTAAGAAAGAGCCCTAACTACATGTAGAAATTGAAACAGTCTGTACAGTTAAAAGCCCAGAAAATAAGATCTAGAACAGATTAGATTAAAGGCTAAGTCCTAAGTATACCATGGAAAATAAGCTTTACATTGTATGTTGACACATTGAAGTGACACTCACAGTGTGGTTGCAGGAATGCTTGGAGGAGATGTGAAACATGATGGCGTTCTCCCCAGCAATGATGTAGGACACACCGTACCCATCATCAGCAACCTGGGCAACAAAACACATGGACACTCTATAGTCAGTAAAACATTCAACTGAACACTATCCAATTCTTCCCAATGTCATGGCAGCATAGACGCTTACATGCCCATGCAACAAACATGCTTCCAGCTATAAGCTACAATGTATATCACACATTCACAGTATCCGTATATATGTACACATGTAACCGATAATAATTTCAGACTCTATAACATTTGAACATTCACTGTGTCTTTCCAACCGAATCTTACAATTCTTCAACTCTATGTTACATATTTTTCTGACATTCTGTTAAGCCTTTAACTTATTGTCAACATGACTTGAATGGGTTATACAGTACATAGTAGATAATAATGAAAGTTGAAGTACCGGTCCGAAGCCTCCTCCCCCTGAGATGTACTCGGGATGTTTCCTGAGGTCCAGCAGGTTGGTCTGCTGGTGAGGAGTCTGACTGGTCGACAGTCGCCAGGGTTCACTCAGCACCTGTATACAGAAACAGGCATTATGGGAATACTTCAGAACACTGACCTAACAGGCGTGAACAGCTGACTCTGAAGTTTGCTAGGTCCTTGCTAGGCTCTGAGTTCAGGGACTGGCTCCCACCACCCAGGGCTCAGATCACAGGAGGAGTGACACGCAACAACCACAAACTGAACTGTCCGAAAGCCAGAACGAAGCGGTACTTGAACTCTTGTGTGCCGTACATGACAAGACTTGTAAACCAGCACGGACAGTAACCCTTTTTGTAACGTGTGTGTATAATTTGTCCATATTTGTGAACTTTAATGCATTCCAGCTTTTAATGAATTCCACCTTTTAATGAATTCCTTATTTTGAATTGTAAATTGGTTTTAATTCAGTGGCAACACTGCGATTTCCAATAAAGAGATCTTGTATCTTGTATCTTGTATCTAAATCAGACTTTTCTGTCAAATATTTTGGGCTTTTTTGTGACCTCATTTCTGAATTTATGTGTCTGACCTCCTGTTATTCTACTTGTGTGTCAATCTTGTCATGTAAACCTTTTGACCATCTGCCTGTTAATCTCCCCTCCCCACACCCACTTCCTGTCAACCTACTCAATCTAGAAAGAAGACACACAAAACACAGCTCGGCAACCCAACATAATACTTCTGTACACTGATCACAGCTTTTACAATTCAAACTGGGTGATAGACCTAAAGAGCTTGTCTTCCTGCAGAAAACTAGATTCTACAGCTCAGTGTTTCAAGAAGAATGAGATCATTTCACCATGAAGATTTCATGCCAGGACTGAGTAAATGTAGCTACTAGTACAGGAGAACATGTTTTTCCAATTACATTGTTCTTGTCAAAGCTATGAGAACACAATGATTTAGATGTACAACTTTTGTTCCATGAACTACTGACCTTGCCAAGGAACTTGGAGTCCTCCTTGAGATACTTGGACACCACATAGAGTGTAAAGAGGTGACGGTCGATACCTGTCCCAGTCATACAGTTCCGGTAGGAGTTCTGGTGGGTGATGGCTGCCTGGTGCAGCAGCTTGATACGGTCCTCATTCTGAAAACACAAGTAATGAACTGAATGTCCATCATACTATTCACATCTAGATCAGGTGTGGGTTTTTAACAGGGGTTTGAAAAATATCACATGTGGTGTCTGTTTGTCTTATATAAACGTATATAATTGTGTAATCTAACAAAATTTAATCTTTTAATTGTGAATCATGCCTCAATTCAGCGATTTTGTAACTGCAATGGCATGTCATCTAGTCTGTGATTTTATTATTGATTTTATAATTGAAATAAACCAGTCATTCATTCATTCACATCTATAGTAACTAACAAAAGACTTATTATTTTTACTCATAGGCCAGTAAAAGCTATACATACAAAATGTTAAAGTCACTATTTGAAGGTGTGTTCAACAAAAGACTTATTATTTTTACTCATAGGCCAGTAAAAGCTACATGATTGTATCTGTATCTGTATCTGTATAGCCGGTATAACCGCCTTTCGGCGTAACACACCAGCTTCGCAGGCACGCGGCGCGGCGGCAGCTGGCTATATTACACCGATCGACTTGTTACACCTAACCCTTGAACTTCTAGCTCTAGACATATATATACAAATGTATACATACAAAATGTCAAATTTTAGTTCTACATGCATGTACAAGAAACTGTTTCCAGCAACACTTTGCATCCCAGAAGTAGAAAGAAAGGGCTGTTACAAACAATGTAGTAGAACACATCAGTGACTGTTTTTGAAATAGAACACAAGACTAGGTTGAGACTTGCGTAGCTCTTCTGGCCTCCCCCGCCTCCTTGCAGAGTAGGAGGTACAATGTGCATGTTTACTACCTTTCAAAAACAGTCACTGATCTAGTATGAATGTGCTACTAACAGTTAAATCTATACATGACTGATGAACCTGTTTAAAAAAGGGACAGTAAGTTTTGTCAGACTTACAGTCTTGGTAGGGTCATCCATGGAGCGTACAAAGTTGCAGGAGTCCATGGTGCAGGAGCGCACGGTCTCGGTACGACCCTCACGGAACAGACGAGTCATTGATGCTTCGTATGTCAGCGCAAACTTGTTCTGGTCCTAGAGTGTGGAAAGAAGAAGAATCATAATAATTTTTTTAATATATCCAAGACTATATCATAATTGATCATACTGTGGTTAAAACTTGTTTTTGTAATGTTACAGAGTAAACTTTGCTAAATACCATCATGTATACATAGCAGAGTTAATTCTATCAGGCAATCTTGTCTTAATGCTTTATTGCCATCTCTTCAAAGATTATACCTGGTCCAATACATGATGCTTCCTTTTTTCTGTACCTATTAAACAGTACATTTACGACTGTCACTTAACAATGGGAATTTTTGAATGGTCATATTCAAACCTCAGTCACATTTCAAAGTATTACTGATAAATGCACAAGCCTATTGTAGAGCCATCTTTGCTTAGTATTTTATACATAACTTTATTGTACTTTCATTTCTGTCGTGCATTTGAAGTCACAGAACCGAGTTGTCATGAAAATTTGCTAGAAACTTATGTGTCTTCCCAAACTGAAAGGGACCATTATAGTCATAACTTTGTATGCAATATACTGCAGTTTAACGTACCCTGAAGTAAGCTGTCTGCAGAGCCATCTGTATCCATGCGTCTGGGCTGATGCGGCACTTCTTGCACACGTCCTTGCCGTAGTGTTTGAAGGCCATGAGCTGCATGTCCACGTCCTCCGACAGAGCCGCTGCAGTCACCAGCTGGGACTCAATCACCTCATTACACTCCTCCGAGATGTCCCACTTCAGCCGCAGAGGGGGAGGCAGGGGGAGGGACGCTTGTCCGATGGTGTTTTTGTCTTCTCCGTACCTGTTAGGATACACCAAAAATTTACACCAAGGCAAGGACCTTATGGTATTATACTGTGTACGCACACAAGCATATAAAAACCCTGCGTATGCACAAAAGCATACAAGAACTGTATATGGGTACGCACAAAAGCATTAAAAAAACTGCAAACAACTTTGCAGTTTTCGTATGTTTCTTGCTTGTAAATTGGCCTACTTTTATGGTTGTCAAGAAACTATGTTCATATATAATTATTTAGTCAGCCCTCAAGGTAACATACAATCTTAACATACGTTTTGTACATTCTTTATGTAAGTCAAAGCGGTCCGATTAACATTCAGGAAAAAATTGATAGAAACATGAACAAATTTAGGGATTATTGAAACTTGTCTTTCAATGACATCTCACAATCTTATTATCAAGTTACATGTATCAGCAAACAGCAGAAAAGGGGAACACTATGAAGACTTCGAAAGTGCATTTTGCCGCTACCTACATGTAGTTTGGGAGTGACAAAATGTACCCTCTAGCGGACCAACTCCCCTGGTATGTTATCTGTCTTTCTGGCAAATTTATAGAGCCTTGTAGAGGCTAGGGCTTTTGGACTAGACAGAATAAATAGTCAGCATCATCATTACCCAATGCCTTTTCCATCATAGTACATGGTGTGTTCCCAGAGATGTCCAACGATGGGTGCATCTGCCCAGGAGTGTTCACAGTTCACCCCGATACGTCCGTTCTTGTAAACCACCAGAGTAAAGGACTTGTCAAACCAGCGATCGTAGGCCTTCCCGTGTAGCAGTGACTCTGCATAGCTCGACACCATGTCATTTTGACCATCCTGTAAAGTAAATATGGGGAGGGGGGGACATAATAAAAACAGTCAGTACTTTCAAAAAATTCTGCATGTTTTGAGTTAATCAAGTATGTTACACCCGGCCCCTTTCCACCTAGAAGCTGTGACCATTGGGCTACCAATGAAGGTTCAGCAAATTTCATAGATCTGCATATTTTGCTGTGTCTTAAATGTGTTATTTTTGCATTTTGCATCATTATTCCAATTCTTAAATCATGGGCCACATAAATCCACTTTTAGTCAATGTGTGGTTGTTTAGAAATTGTCATTAATGCAAAAATTAAAGGGGACTTTCTTTGCCCATCACCTCCTCACCATTTGAAACCAATATTACATAAGCCTACTTCCTTACACTATTCCAGCATATCAAATGCTTACAAGTATTTGGTGACTATGAAAAACTTAAACTTTTCTCCAACTCAAAATTTGACTCACCAGAAATTTTCGACTGAATCACTCAGTCTTCCTCAGCTATCTGACCCAAATGCTGTGAGTCAAATTTTGAGTTGGAGAACAGTTTAAGTTTTTCATAATGTAATTTACCAACTCAGATGAACTTTCATGCCGAAGTATTTGGTGACATGTACATGTAGTATTGTTAACCATTGCACCACTGAAAAAAAGCAACTACTGTAGCTTGCTAAGGCCATAAGGGGTAAAAAAAAAAAAGAGAACCACAACCAAAATAATATAGACACCAATGTCTGTGCGCAGTCTAAAAGCACATACCACTATCTCGACATTTCTTTTTCCAGCTGGTTCAAGCAAATCCTGAAAGAACTACGTAGTTTGTCCGTTCATTGCAAGCAGACAAAAAAGGGGCAGAAAAACAACAACATTGGGTTAAGCACATTAGCAGACTAAGACTTTCTAAAAGCATTGTGTGATGATCCAACATTGCTTGGACAGGCATGGTAGCATTTGATAATTAAGTTATGGCATTTTTTTTTTTAAATTCTAGAATAGCTTATGAAACTAAGGAATGTTGAAGAGGAGAAATGGATTATTCTTTTTACATTAAAAGATGCAAATCTTACCTTTGAATCCACCGCAGTTTTAAAACTCTGTAAATCCGTATTTGTTTGCAACAAGGAAAAATAGAGCACAACTTGTTCAATTTTGGTAGTAGCTAATTCTGCAGCGATGTCTTAAACTAAGTTAAAGTTTTTTTTCCATGCCACTTCCAAAGAATGGATAGATATCATATAAGGCTTTTACTAACTATAGTGCATTAATTATGATCCTAGCAAGCAAGCTTTAACTGAAGACTTAAGCCAATTCTGCTGTCATGTTTTAGTTTATTCAAACAAGCACAAATAAAGTACATTGACAGGGCTAACACTTGTCAAAGGAACGTTAAAATGACTACTTAGTAATACATGGACAAGAATTCATAGCATTAAGCCTTAATAAATTTATGGCTTAAAGATCTCCTATACCTTGTCATAGTCATGCTCCTCTTCATCTAGTGTGACAAAGAATGCGGATTGCTCGATGGTATCGAGTGAGGTCTTGTTGACACCCTTGCTGAAGAACTTTTGGCGAGCCTTGGCCCACGGAATGCGTTCCCCAGCCGTCATCGCAGCGAGATGTTCCTCCCCAAAAGCAGGCTCCGACTTGTCAAGCAAAATCTTCTCAATTTGCCTGGAGATCGAAGTTGAATCATAATATTTTGATTTGATTCATTGAAATTGTAACAATACAATACACGTGGGACACAGACAGCTGTTGGACAGGACATGACTCATTTTCACTTGAGTTAAGTGAGGAAAGTGGTGTAAAGTGCCTTTCCCAAGGGCACAAAATCAGTGGCATGTCAGACTCAAACCCGGGACTTGTTGGGTCCGAGTCAAGCACTGCTGTTATGCCACACGACCCCACATAAACAGAAAATGTATGCATCTTTGCAAGCCTTCAAACATTGACCAGCGTTATTTCTTTACTCTTTTCTGTTTTTTTAAAGTCACTTACATTATTGCCTGATCATCAACTTTGACTGAAGCATGAATTGAAATGCCATGTGCAATTTTGGGAGCTCCCTCCCCATTCCCCATTCTCCCAGGTAAAGACATAAGTACTTGGATCTACACAAAAAATAGAATTTATGCCAGAATCTTCTTTTCGGTATAAGATACATACTGGAATACATGTACATTAAAATTGAAGGGAGAACAAAATGAGAAAAATAGAGGACATGGCCCTCAAAAAGAGAGCAACTGTTTGTAGGAAATTTTTGCTACTTACGCTTGGATCTCACAGGGACGAATGAGCTGGCCGAGAAAGTAGACAGGCAACTTGTAGTAACGTCCTCTACTATAGACCACCACGTGTTTACTGTCATCCCAGTGACGTAGGCTGTCTGAATAGACAAAAACAAAAGCATGATGCTATATATATATAGCTATTATCTCATATATCTAAAAGTTAAAAGACATTTTTTTACCTTTTCCAAAAATAATGCTCAGGTCATCTCATCACTCACTCACACTCACTGCACGGCTTAACGTCCGTTGTTCCCCGTGAAGATTGAAATTCCCCACCATGTGAAATAGAATGTCAAGTCAGCATCTTTTCTATCGATACTGACTCTTTTAATCTTTTAAAAAGCATATATATGTACCTGTCTCCACTCCAGGGATACGTGTGGTGTTGAACATCCGTTCATACTGCCAGGAGCACAGAGGCACTGCATTGGACACCAGGATCTACAGAAACATACCATTTGTTAGTCAAAAATGTAAAGGGTATTATATAGTCAAAAGGGCAGTGGGTTGATAATCCACTGTGTCTAGGGCATGGTATTGGAAGGTGGACTGCCCATCCCTCTCCTTCCAATACCTTTTACCTTCCCAATCAAAGTCAGGTACACATTTAACACCTGGGTGAAGTGAGGAAAATTCTGTTAAGTGCCTTTCTACGGGACACAACATCTAGCAAGAAATGTCAGGGTTCAAACCCGTGACCTCTTGATGTTGTGTCTACTTGCCTAGCCTCTCAGTCATTTTATAACACTGATCCAAACCCTGTTTGATTGCATTAACGAGAAAACTTTCTTGTTTTTAAAACTTGGAAACATTTATATCCACTCTGAAACGTGTCTCTAACATGTAAGAAATCCAGAATAAGTGTATAAATGTGACCGATGCCAAGTTAAAGTGTTATGTTGGTACGGGTTAGCCCGAATACCGTATTTGAAGGCTTCAAACATGCTTCCTGGGTGAAATTAACCTTCCTACAATACATAATGTACAACAGCTCGGAAACACTTAGCATTAGGAAAACTTACCGGCCTGACTTCCTCTCGAGCCAGCTGCCGGCGGAACAGCAGCATGGAGTAGATGACATTAGCGCAGCGGGCGGCCTGGTTCTGTGTCGGGTGGACAAAGATGGCGTCCATGGCGTAGTAGTTACTGTTGACCATGATGGGGGAGCGCCCGCGCAGGTACACATACTCCTCCCACCAGTCACTCACCTGGGAGGGACAAATTCTGGGGATTAACCTTTGACTTGCTTAGGTTACTAGTAGCCTTTTGGCAGCAAATTTTTATTGAATACAGGGTCGTGTAGATGGTAGAAAGTTATATATTGTTCATTGTATGTTCAATTTACAAGGGAAATCATATTGATCAATTTGTAATGAAACGTCTTTCAACTCTCATGATCAAAGCATACACTACATTGCAAGCAAAAAGCATGTATGTTTACACATAGTCTTGTTGAAGTTAGTGCTGCATACCTAAACCCACATTTAGGTTCAGGTCCGGATTCAAGTCCAGAGGTTTAGGTTCAGTTCCGGACTTGTAAGTCCGGACCTAAACCCATGTCATATACAAAATTGCAACCTTGCAACCTTGCAATGTTATCTGGGCGAAACTTTGGGCACATAACATGGAGGTCGACACTTGACGATGCCCAATGGCAATGTTGTCTTCATTTTGCAGCAAAGTTTTTGCAATCTACGGAAGGTTTTAGGTGGTTTGGAAAGAAAAGGGGTATGTGAAATGGTCTTTTATGGTAATAAGTCCAGACTCGGTTCTTGACTTTTAGGTTTTTTTGGACTTGAACCTAAACATTCTTACAAGTCCGGATCCAAGTCCAGTGAACCGGTACGCAGCACTAGTTGAAGTAAAATAACATGTTAAGGAATTTATGTCACTTTGTAAGTTTTTGACAATATTGGCATATGTTGAAATTTGAAACACCATCATACAATGAAGTTCCATGAATACTTGGACAAATATCAAGGTGTCTTGGTAGAGGTGCATTCGTTTATTGTTTATTTCAGCTTTCATGTCCCAAAATATACAGACACATAATCATGACAATGTGGCACAAAAACAAAAAAGTATGTACAGATAGATGTAAAAAAAAAAAGACTTCTAGTACCAAGCTCTGCTGCCACAAAGTCACCCCTTATGGAAGGCGGACAAATCTAGAAAAGTGTTGCCAAAACAGGCAAGAGGAGAAGGCCTCCAACAGAACAACAGTTTGATGGCATTGTACCTACTGGCCATGGTAGTTAACTCAAATTACAAAGTCTACAGCAAAGGACTCAACAGGAGACACTTACATAATTGGTTGCCCACCAGGACTTGAGCAGCAGGTATCTCTGCAGCCGAGGGCCCAGGGTCTCCTGGAAGTCCAGTGCTAACTGTTCCATCTCCTTGTACTGGTCATCGGTCATCAGCGGCCGCACGGACTTCAGGTAACGACTGATGGTGCCCTGGACGGTGGGCAATGGCAGCCGAGGCAGCGAGGCTTGGTAACTGTACAGTAGAGGCTTCCTGCCGGAAAAGACCTTCACTAAACCCTGGAAAGAATAACTGTGCATCACTAGGGGAACTACATGTACTGAAATGGAGATTTACCCTTTCATAGAATACCAAAAATGATTTTTTTCTTGTATAACGAAAATTTATCTGTGAGCAAAAATATTATCATTTAATTATACCATGTACATTTGTACAATTATAGTAAAGTATATTATTATATGAAGCATCAAGTACAAGAACACCTCATGGAAGTGAAAATTGCTGGTAACTGTACACTTTCCAATGTCTGGGAACATGCAAATAGCAGTCTAATCAATGCAGTAATAATAAGAATCACTAGGTGGAGCTGCTGCACTGCACTCCACTTTGGCTTTGTCAAATTAACTCAGCAAAAGGAAAATACAAGAACAATTTCTATTTGGTCTTATACATTGTAACTCCTCATAATTACTAGATTAAGGTATGGAACTCAAAATGCATAATATGACAGTGACTGATAATTAGATGAAGACTGTGTCTACTAATTTAAAATCTACTTTATGTATGCCCTTTTTTTCTAGTTTGTGAATAGGTGACCTCACCAGCCAGATCTTGGAGACGAGAGAGAACTTCCCGTGTGGTTCGTACATCCAGCCGTGGTAACACAGCAGCAGTTTGAGCATGTAGCGCAGCATGTACACCATCCCGATCCACAGTACGGTGGAGAAGATCACTACACTGATGTACAAGTCTGCCGGCGCTGCAAAGTAGTTGCTGTAAATAGAGGCAAGGTTATAGCTGTCTTCACCTGAGAGTCTTAGGCTCTATACTATCATTAAAATCATTTACGAACCACCAAATATAGACTGAAAAGTGAATAATATTTGTTCACTAGATGATCTTAATTCTAGGTAGTCTCATTGAATACACACATATGCATATGTTGAATGGACATGTACATGTACATATTTATCAGTGTTTGAAATACATTTTTGTACGCACTTTTGTGCACCCAAAATTGGAGTCCTGCTCCTATTTTTGACCAATAGTAATGACAATACACCAGATACATGTATTTGTGTAAGGATATTGATGTAAAAGTACTATTAAGTACGTCTGGTAATATTCTTCACATGCATTTCACCACTGATTATTATTGTATCACTTGCATAAAATTTGCAAACTATAGAATTTCAGATTCATGCTTGTACGAGAATTAGTTATGGTTTTGCTGATGTTCTAGCACTTCTACTTTATTTCATGTTGTGCACCCAAAATGAAATTATGTAATAATACTATACATTACTACAACTGACCTTAATCCTAGGCGGTCTTGGATAACCTGAATCACTCCCATAGAAGGGTCGACTCGCATGAAGACAGAAGCCAGAACAGAGATCAACACCACAAACCAACTGGTGGGACTGGCCGGGTACAGCCCTGTCAGGAAATTGTTCTAGAAAAAACAAATAGCTTGTCAAACAACTTGTATTCAACATTTCTTCAAATGGGTGCAACAGGTATGTTGCAACTGTATTGTCTGTAAAATTGTGAACAAAGAAGCTACAAATTGCTTTATCATCACGGTTTATGCTTCAACTAACAATATAAACAAATTGAAAACTTAACTACAATATTTCAACATATGGTAGTACCTAAGTAAAAATACAAACAATCTGAAAAGATCACATGAAGTTGATTATATGTTAAAGACTTTCGGTTTTACCTTATTTTAAAGACTGAAACAGTACTATGATTTGATTTACTTCTTTAAATTACATTTGTACTAGCAATCAAAAGTAAAGATGGTATACGTAGCTGCTGTGTTACACTGAAGGGCAATTATACTGGCTATACAGATACAGATACAGATACAGGAGATCATACACTAAGTTGCAGTACCTTAAAGCGAGCGAACCGCTTCTTCCAGGAGCGTACACCAGAGTAGTAGATGGCCCTCAGTGCCTCATTACTGATCCTGAAGTCTACACCTTCAGGTGTGATGGTGAACTGGAAGGCCACAGCAGCGTGAGCTTCCGCCATGTTGGCTACAGTAGATCAAAGGATACCTGCAAAAACAGTGATAAAATGCTTGTAAGCTCTCTGAGACAACAAACCAGGGCCAGCACCAGTTTTTCTGTCAATTACTGGAACTCCAGCACTGCCTGAAAAACATTTTTTTAAATATAATCTGAGTGTAGCTGCTGGTAAAATAAATGCAGTGTGATGGAACTTTCTAAAAACCGAATCCGTCCACCTTGACATACAAAATTAACAAAAATCTTGAGTAAAAATATTAAAACATCCGAAGGACCACCGACAACCACTCTCAGTCTCAACACCATGATTTGCCTTTCAAAATGAGTAAAATTGCACTTTTGAAGGCTTGAAAATCTAAAATTTCACTGGGGAGCCCAATGATGAACCTGGCGGGCTGATAGCAAAAAATTTCAAGCTAAGGCTAGAGGAGTCCTGCAACAAACCCTAAAACAAAATGGTTGTGAAAGGGACTGCCTGGGTATGGCACTGGAAGTTCAGTGGAACACTGTTCTAAATGCAGGTGAGTCAATAAAAGATCAGTGCACATGTGTTACACTAAAGCAGTGGGTACCAGTATGGCTGTACTGGTTTAGACTGGAAAAATTAGATGACAGGTTTTTGGACTCGAACCAATATGCAAAACATCATGCATTAAAGAACAAAAGATTTTACTCCAAACATACTTGCTATTTGTTTTCATTCGACATGCCTTTAATAATATATGATTCGCTCTGCCTCTGTATATGCACACTGCGCATGTGCATACAAGTACGTGTAGTACATTGTAGTAAACACATACATTGTAAGGGTTGAATGACAGGTTATTATTCATGTGTAAACAAACGAACTGATGTTTCCTGGGCTTTTTGGAATAGGTACAAGATTTTTCCGGTCTGTACCTCACAGTACCTGTACTACGCAAGTCTAGTTTGAACAAGATTAGGTCTCCATATCCTTATGTTATAAACACATAGGGGGTTAATTCAGGTAACTCACGTGTGGTCAAAGTCCACATATGAACACACACAGAGTGGACTTTGCCCCTATGAATGCCAAGGACTTGCGAAATGCAGACAGGCCTTTTATATGTTCAAGTACGCTATTATGTAAAGCTTTGTTCAAGTACACTAAAGTTACAAAAGAATGTCTAGATTCCACTTCCACTGTAGGATGTTGCAATTGTCTGTTTGACTTTGAGTCTTTGATATTTTTTATGTTTGTGCAAACTACAATATAAATGTCACATGCATTGTAGTATCATGGTGTAAAAGAATTACATAACACACCAGCTCTGTTCCTAATTAAGTAGTCAAACCTGTCTAAGACAGCCACCAAGGGGACCGAGAAAAGCAGTCATTATGACCAGATGGCCGGTTAATAATATAGAGGTAGTCGCTTGGGCACATTTGGCTACAAACTAGCTAGTATATTCAAACATCATGTACTGGAATGCAGGACAAGCTGGCCAATGTGGCCCCATAGCTTTTTTGGTAGCCCCATAGATTATTTTGTGCCAAGCATTGACAACATTTGCTAGCCATTTTATGGATACCTGTTTCTTGAAAGGTCACCATAGACTACTAGTAATAAGACACAATATGTAGGCTGTACAGCCTTTAGATTAAACTTTAATAATAAGCAGTCATCTACATGTATATTACTACCCTTACAAAGTCCATCATGATCCATTGCTTGGAAAACAGTACAAAGTCTTTCAACCTACAGTACTCCATGGTTAAAACCATAACAAATCAAAGTACAGAAGGGCAAAAGTACAAAAAACATGGGGAGGGGTATGTTTGCAAAGGTGTCTGCTGATGACGTTATTGTCTATGTTTACCAGGCGTTCAAGGTTCAAGCATGCACGTGTCACGCTTCGCAAACATTGTAATGACGCATATCCTGTAGGGTAGTGTTGGGGGATGGTGGTGGGTGTGTTCAATGTACCTCGTGTACAGGAAATAGGGAATGGAAACAAGCCAGCTTCCTTCTAAATCTAACTGCGCATTTGACAATTTCCTGGAAGAACTGACTGGATATTTTTGAATAATTCTTTTCTAGGTTGGCAAACATAATTACTTGATGTCAATGAATGTTATGTACATTTTTGTACACATACTCAATACCTCTTCATTGTACATTCTACTAAATTATAATGTACATGTATATCAACTATCAGGTACACAAGGCAGATATCAACAAAGAAGTTGTCTACATATACAATGCAAATTGTAAGCATGCAGATACAAAAATACTATATTGGTTATAGAAGTACTGTATGTTGGACAGGCGAATTACAGATTCATGAAAAGAATACACTTATAACAAAACTTGCTGGAGGAACAGAAATCAAAGCACTATCAGAAATATACTAACAAAAATAGCAACAGCAACACTAGTAACAGGGAAATAATCATGTCAATGCCTAAACACAAAAAAAATCAAAAGGTCGATTTACAAGGTCATTCAAAACATGGGCATGGAATGCGTACAAATTCATTAACACTGTCGACTCGTAGACAGAAATTTTAAAATTGAGAAAAATGTAGCCAGGAGAAAATATTGTTTTCATAAAATCTGTGTTTTGGGGTCTTCATGATCCAAAATTGGATTCAAGTAGAAAATAGAATACGACTTTATTAAACGGCAGAAATGTCCTATTCGGGGCCACCAAGCCTTCAGACTAACACTAATGCTCCCTAATCTTTTACTAGACGTGTTGCTTTCTAGAAAATGTTGATATTCTGAACGATTGAAGTAAAAATCTACCGACAGGTCAAACCCAAATAAAGTGACCGGCAACACGCCCCCCTCCCCACCCCGTTCCTTCCCTCAAATATCCGTACGAAAACAACGAAAATCAAAGACAAATTGCACAAAATGCCTCTGTAAACTCAAGCCTACCTTCTTGTTGGATAACTTCACCGACACACTGCCGAGAAAAACGCGGGAAATCGTTTTTTCTGAGAGAAAACTTTGAGAAGACGCGTTTCAGACGATACGTTCGCCGGTATGACGTACCATCACAAGGTCACCCTGTCGCAAGGCACCATGGGAAGGGTCACCTCTCGTCCTGGGACCTCGACAGGTTGACGTCATCAAATCTAATGAATGCTCCTTAGGGAATATAATAATAAAGTTACTGTATATTAAAACTGCCTATTTCTATAAGTGGCTTCCGTGATTTCGGTGTTCAATCTGTACTGGTTTTACATTCAAATTTATAATCAGCATTGAGCCAATTTAGCTGTTTTATAGTCACAGTGGAGGTTGGTTTTGCTGTACACAATTTAGATGTAATTAATAGTGGTATTTTTAGGAATAAGGTGGCCCTTTGAAGCTTTATCCTTCTTTAAACTACAGATTACAAACATGGAAAAACACAGGGAACAGAAAGTACACTAGCTCTTTGCAGAGATGTGTAAGTTTGCAATAACAAGTGTTTCTTGTTGTCAGTATAGGGAAGCTACTTGCATGCAGAGTATGTCCCTTAGTTAAAATGTGGTGAATCAAATCCAGTCAATAAAGGAAGACGCAGTGAGATCAGATGCCGCTAGGGGTCGCTGTACCTCAACAGGTGTTTCAGCAATCACGTGAATACATGTTCACCTGCCGTACTTCATTAAGACCCCTATATAAGGGGACATGACCGAGCATGCGGTCTCTCTGTCTTCTTGCACGAGACTGCACGGTAGGCTTTCCGTTAATTTTGTTAGCCTCCATAGCATGCCAAAACCTGGGGGTTTAGGGGGTCTTCAGGGTCTTTGGGAGCTTTTACGTGCTATTTTCTGATTGCATATAGACAATGTAGCCGGCCTGGTTGAATTACCCCCCTTTTCTGAACAGTTTTAGAACTGGGCTAATCAGAAAACAGCCGAAAACCACCAAATCCCCAGTTCTATAAGCCTGCTACGGAGGCTACATTTTTGTCCAATTCAAATTCAGGCTGGTAACGTCACTACAATTCATTTTATTTAGTAAAACGAACCTTTGTTAAAGTTGTTAAAATTATACTAAAAAATAACCTTTTTCAAGATAGACATATTTTGTTTGGACTGAATCGAACGTGTATTTTGATCAGAGTCGAAGGTTCTAATTTATAAATCTATGGTCTACCGTTGTCTACGACTCTATAAATATTCTTTTTTTCCCTCTCTCTCAAAAAAGGTGTTTTTCGAGACTGTCAGCAAGGATCAAGACAAAAGAAAAACATGGCTGCGACTTTGAAGAAACTCGTGGCCGAATGCAACGTCCCAGGGAGTAAGTAACTCTTAATATGTGTATAACAACACTAAAAGAAAATATTCACGTGTTAGTGTTACCGTCATTATAGTTTGAACTGTTTTTCGGCAAACGTTTTGAGGTACGAACCAGGAAATTTCTAAAAGATTCACACGCGAAATAAACGGTGAAACTATTTTTGAGTTTGACATTGTAGGCCGGTCTTTTAATATGGTGTAGATTTTTACAGTCGGCCACTCATTATGCAATTGAACAGTAGTCTCTAATTCATTTCTGAATCATTGCATTGACTTAGAGCACAATATGGGGATGTCCTTTCTTTCCAATTAACATTAATTTAGACAGAAATTACGGATTGGAAACGTTTCCAATTACGTTACTTTACACAGAAATTACTGATGGTAAACCACCCCAACAGATTTTCTCCCAGACGGGGCCGAGGTGTTTCTGACACACACGGAGGACATGCCTGTGTCAGCTGATGTCTACTGGTCCGCCTTCCGGAACTTCAGAAAACTGCAGCTACAGTTCGAGGGGCACGAGAACCTCCGACTGAAGAAAGGTATGTCGTTACTAATTAGTGGATAAGTCCTTACATTTCTTGACCTTTGATTTTGCATGTACCAAATACTTAGTACACTGCAATAAGGATCGGAGACAACATCATAACTCTAATGTTAGCGGTACTTTACCACAATACCGGTCCTTTACCACGTTTTTTGGCGACGTCTCAGGGATGAGCCTAATGGTACAACAATGTGTGCAGTTTGCACGATTTCTAGGAATTGTACAGGGATTTAGTCCACAGGCATGGAATGTCCACAGCAAGTGTCTGTTAGCTGTTTGCTGACACACAGCTATGACCATATTCCTAGAAACCCCTGGGAAAACCTGTCTTCCCTATCGCCCTACTTCGTGACCCCAGGGCTCGTTCACTATACACACAGGGGAGTGTAAAGTGTACTGTATCTGTCTAGACTTAGACACGTTTGTTTCTGGCTGGAGGCAAAATATCAGAAATTACAGCAAACTGAAAACCTACTCCAAAGTCAAATCTGACTTCGTTTTTGAGAAATATCTTTCACTAATACAAAACAAATCTTTCGCCGCTAATATAACCAAAATACGAATTAGTTCACACTGTTTAGAAATAGAAAAGGGACGCCATAACAATGTACCAGCCACTCACAGATGTTGTCCTATTTGCAAAGATATTGTAGAAGATGAATTGCATTTTATGTTAACATGTCCAGCTTACAATGAAGAAAGACAAACACTTATGAACTCTATCGCCAACAGCACAAGTATTACATTACCTAAGACAGTCTCAGATACCTTTACTTTTCTTATGTCATGCCCCGATGCAATCTCACCATATATAGGCCAATATATTTCTAACGCCTTAGTTTAAAGAAACAATGTCATTTCCGAAACAGTCAACTGATTGCTTACACATAACAATAGGAATACAACTATATATATATATATATATCCATTATACTAGTAATACTTAAGTATAGGACAGAGTAGTATTTAGTTGTAGATTTACAGAACCCCTGTATAATGTTTGCCATTCCTTTTGTATACTAGTACGATGTAACTTAAGTTCGATTCATATACAGCATGAATGTAGTACTCTTTTACGCATTAGTTTAGATTTTAGATTTGTACTTAGTACCGCTAATTGCCATACGATGTATCCGTACATTAGTTGTGCAATAAACTTTGACTTGACTATCAAGGCTTCTTCAAAATCCTGAAATCATGGCAGTGGCATACAAACAATATCCCTAACAGCAACCACTGTCGCCATGGCAATGTATGTTTTCATTGCCAATCTCGTTTGAATTTTCCCTTGTTAAGGATTTGGCTTGGTGGGCACGGTGGTTTCCTTCTACTACGACCCGACGGACCTGGTGGAGGGGCAGCGGGAGATGAAGCTGGTGGAGAATAACGACGCGACCAAGACCTGGCGGGTCGAGGAGGCCAAGCCGAACCAGCTGTACACCAGCTATGAGATGACCATCAAGGTAATACTATCAAACTACACATACGGCTGTTTTCAATTTTGTTTGCCAACAATCTAAACAAGAGATCGGAGGCTTAACTTCGGAGAATTGCTTTTGATATCCAAGACAGATTTCCGGAAAGTTTTTGGGTTTTCGTGAATGTATTGGAACTGTGGAGGGGGGATATATGATGTAATTCGACCGGGTATTGTACCACTCCTGAATTCCTCCACATGCCACCCACGTGCACTTACTCCCACTTGGCACGTGCTAGGTCGCTTTCAGGCTTCACTTCCCTGTCAATCAATTGATAAAATCAGCTCCCACCATCGGTCTAACCTACGCTACTAGGACACAGGCACAAAGAGTTAAAAAGTTCTGCTATACCCTCTTTTTCCTTTTCTAATGTCCGAAATGGACAATACGACTTGTCGCTAGACAGCGCTACAGCAATTTTTATCTGTATCCCACTCGTGTCTAGGTTGAAGGGACTGACACCGCCAAGGTGACCATATCCGTGCGCTTCGTGTCCGCCATTAAAGATCCGGTGAAACGTCGTGAAGACATCGCCTACCACATGGTAAGTAAACACTGATGGTTTTCTTCGCCACAATGTTCTTAGCCGGGACGGGGGGCGGTACCAACTTCAGACGAAGTGGTGAAGGCCGAGATTCATTTTGAAATTTGAGGACAATTTGATTTTCATTTAGAATTGGTTTAGTACCTTGGCCAGAAATAAGTAGAGGTGCTATGTAAATGCTGCTGTAATAATTTTGCATGCCAAATCAAAAGCAATTTGAATATGCCCAATCACTTGAATTAAACTACTGTAATTGTACATCTTTATTCATAGTTGTGAAAAGTATATATCCATTAGCAGTAAGATCACGTTTGTAATAAGGTACTATAGCAATCTTTTGGAGATTAATGATTTTTTTCTTGTTACAAGGTTCATCTGTTGGGAGCTCGCATCCGGGACATCCTGAATTACGTTGTCCGTGAGAAGGTGGGAGGGCACCACCGCTTCGAGCTGGAGGTCGACTGTTCTCGCGAGAAATTGTGGGGAACCGTGGGGAACTTCAATGACGTCAGTTGGATACGCGAATCCACGCGTGAGTTTGCGAGAATTGTGTTGTTTCATCGATTAATATCATTAAACGTACTAAACTGATCTCAGATACTGAATCCAACAAGTTCATTGATAATGTATCAAATACATACATACACGATTCTTTATTGACACAACAAAAAAGTACAGTGGCTTTTGTATGGTCTAATACAACTAAAGATTTAATCTCATATATTGGTGCTGTAGCAGACACCTTGTACTGTTGGATTACGTACATTATGTAGCAAGTGGTTGGGCAAAGTTAGAGGGGCTGGTCACCATGTCTCCATCCGTGTAACTGTATTTGTTAAGGTGGACCATTTGAAGGTAAACATGCAATTTTACCTTAACATTTCTAGACAGTAACTGATTCTCTTTCACAGATACCGTTGTGAAGGGGATCCGTCGGACGATCTATTTCACCAAGGACCGTTCTCTGGAGGTCCGTCTGGCCTGGGCCGACTCCAGTGACTACCTGTTCGTGTATGAGGGAGACAACAGTCCGGACTTTCTGCACTGCAAATACTACAGGGGCAGAGTAAGGACTGAAATGTTCTCGTGCTCGTATAGGACTGTTATGCCATAGCTAAAGTAGAGCATGAGATTTTAGTATTTTACCTTCGAGTGGCAAATGGCTAATGCTTGGCAAATGGATACTGCCTGACAAATGTCATACTGTCTTTCAAAGATTTGCTTGGAGATTTGATTTCAACATAGTTAACGTTAATATTGACTAAAGGAGGCCTACATGTATTTGTCAAAACCACGTCTGTTCATGTACAGTAGTTCATAGTCTGGCGGGTTTTGTCTATAGCTAGTACATGCTTCTATCAACCACTGTAAATGATCTAACCTCTTGGTGCTAATTTTCATATTCATAACCAAAGTAACACAAACCTTCTAAAGCTTAAAGGTTTGAGATGCAACAGTAAGGTCACATTCTTAAGGTAGTTGTCGTCTTTTCACAGCTCCAGTTCTTCGCCGTGAGCCCCAAGAGGGTGAAAGTCGTGTACGACTGTTCCTTCCTGCCGGCTAAAGACGCACCAGTGGAGGAGTTTAAGAAATGGTTCGTTCCGGCTATCGCTAGTAGGATCGGCTGGCTCAAGGTTGGAAAATATTTTATCACAAAAAATATACTAGCTTATGTGTATACCTTCTCAATAATACAATCTACCTCAGTTCGATCCACCTAGACTTTCCCACTTTGGTGTCTAGAAAAATTACTAATTTGTATACATGTCAATAGAATGTATATTTTATTAACTCGTGCTACAAAGATTCGTCCTATTTTGATGTCTAAAATAATCACTAACTTAGTTAAGTCAAATGCAATGAAGCATATTTTCCTTCATTTTATTTTGACTTGTAAGTAACAATATAGCTGTGTGGCTATGGTATCTTAAATATTTAAGTAATGCATTTTCGTTCATTTTATTGACTGGCAAGTAACTACAGAATGGTGTATGAATGACATCGACAATGATATCTAACTATTTTATAAATGACAATGATATCTATTTTAGAAATGCAATTTTTGTAAATGTAACTACAGAATGGTTGTGACAATATCTAGTTTTAGAAATGCAATGTTTGTAAGTGTAAGTAGTGAAGAAGGTCCTTTGCTTGCCTTGTAACGTAGGAGGCGTTTGGTGAAGCGAAGCCGAGTGTGAACGTAGAAGCCCCCGCCACGCCCGCCGGACCACCGGCCTTCAAGAAGGGCGCGTACTCCACCGGCGCCCGGGGGCTCGTCAGGGGTCCCCTGGAGGATGTGTGGAAGGTCTTCCGGCCTTTTGGACGCGTGAGTAGTTTTGAAGATATTTTAGTTTCATTCTACTGTAACGTACAGTCAGACCTGTTCTTGCGACCACCTCTTCAAGACGACCTGGCCATGGAGACCACTTTTGCTCGGTCCCTATTGACGCAAGCATACAGTATTTGAATTAAGATACCACAACTTAGTCTCAGTCGTGTTTGAGTCGACCCTATTCAAGGGTGCAACCTGTCCAAAACGACCGCTTTTTTTTTGTCCCCTGGCTGGACGTCTTGGGCAGGTTTTACTTTATTGTACGACATTGAAGGTTTATTGAATTAATATCTGTTTCAATCTTCATAATAATCGTTGCACGTTCATACAAGTCAAACTTTTTAAATCATTGTCAAACATACATGTATCTAACGACTTTTTATTACTTGTCAATCATATTTTAGTTATTAGATATTAATAAAAATAATGTCTACAGGACTGCATGGAGTACTGGAAGATCTATGACAACATGGAGATCGAGGAGCCCGGAAATGACGTACAAGGCTGCATCCGGTGTTTTGTGACGTCCAAAACCAAGAGTAAGATCAGGGAGAGGCTGGAATGGCGGGACGATAACGATCACGTCGAGGTTAGTTACATATAGTCCTCCATTTTAACATCACATTATGTAGAGAGCTTCTCAATTTATTTACGCCATTTTCATAATATCGAATTAACCAGCTAGCACACAGTGAAGCTACCAAACAACTAAGCCACGGTGATTTTAATCATCGTATTACAATTCGTCGTATTAAACTCTTATTATGCCTTCCCCATGAAACTGCTATAGTTTTAAGATAGATGAAAAATGATCATGAATTCATCTTCATTTGTTGTACAGATCTACAGCCTTCTGTCCATGGAGCCTCCCCCTCCAGTGACAATGACAAATGTCTACACCACCATTACTATGACGGAAGGTAAGGGAAGAAGATTCATGTATGCAGCGCCAAGATACATTTTGATGATGCAAGTTGTTGTATTGTGAGAATTGTGAGAATTCAATCACAAAAAGCATTGAAGTTCTCGATTTATAAAGTGAAGGTTCATCTGTGATGGTAGTTGTTTGAACATCCAACACAAAGTTCTCTCGCCTAGAGCGGTAGAGTTCGACCAGTCACTCTGGTCTTCCTCAGTAGACTGACCCAGTGAGACTTGTCACGTGGCTTCTTTGAAGTGCCTTCTCATTTAGTTCGACCTTTTTGCCACAGACACGTAAGAGCATAAATTTTTCCATGTTGTGGATAGTATACTAATGATCCAATTCTTCATTGCACAGTTGGTGAGAAGGAGACTGAAGTGAAGTTCGAGTGTACCTTTGACGTCAGCGTGTCGTTTGCGGTGTCCCGTATCCAAGACAACCAGAAGGCCGCGTACATGGCGTGCATCACCGGGCTGCAGCAGCTCTTCCACTCCGAGGTCGGGACGCTAGAGGTCGTTGTTGGGAGCGCCGCTGATCTGGCACGCACTGACGGCTGGTGTAAGTACCTAAATATATTGAATTTCATAAGAAAGGTAAACATTTGCAGAGCAAATTCATAATGTTTACCTTCAGCTGGTCTAGCCCAACAAACTTCAGTTTATTCTTACTCAGTCAAATACATTCCATATATATGGTGAGCAGGATCTCCGACTGTTCTGCTACATAATGTAACCCAACACCAGTTACCATGGTGACAGACGTCTGGTTCAGGTCATTGAGTGATTGACCTCATAGTTTTGAAGAAGAAATTGAGCAAAAACATGTTTTTCTTCTGCGAAGGTAAACATAGAAATTAGAAAATGTACAGGCGATGGTGTCGATGGAATCTCCAAGAAAATTTCTTTGAGGGCAGGGGACGATCAAATTGACCACCCAACTTACCATTTTCCCCCGTAAGGCTAATCTTTTACCGCCCCTCTATAACATCACGCGAGTTCTCGTCGGGTGCTCTCGCGAGAGCAGTTTAAAAATGGTGGCAGAGTTTGGAAAGAGTTTGTTCGTTCCATGCTCAAGAAAACTGCTTGAGGTTAGCGTTCATGTAACTCAAATTGGCAGCTTTGTCATCATTTTATGATCTTGAAAATGTATTCTTCCAGTTGATGCTGACCCGTATGTTGTGCTCGCTGTGAATGATGGGAAGCCCGTGACCACAAAGGTGTGCCGCTCTACCCAGAAGCCCATCTGGGACGACCGTTTTGCGCTGCCGGTGACTTCACGGACAAGAAACATCGTCTTCACCATCATGTATGTATGGGACTAAAGATTTTCAGAACTGCTGTTTCTAACTTCTACTTACAACCATTACAAATAGGACTCGCCTTGTATTTGATGCCATTGGTAGATTCCACTTTTCGTGGAATAGTAAAGCCGTTTAATATTCAAAATAGCCATAGAAAATAGCCTGTATATTATTGTCTTTGTATAGCCATAAAATAGTCAAAATTCTTGTCTTCTGTACAAAAAATATATATAAAAGCAAGCGTCTTCCTAACACGACATCGCATTTTGCCTCAAATATTTTAGTCTGCTATGGAATAGGAATTACTACAGTAAAGAATGACCATAGAATTGAATGACCATAAATTCTGAAAATTCCTTTTTTCTCCGCCTTAAATAGCATTAGATGCCTTTTCTACATATACGTTCTGGTAATAAAGTACAATCTATCAGATACCACCTCTGAGCATACCTCCACTGTCTACCCTACAGGGACCGAGACACGGTCGGACAGGACGACATCATGGGGACAGCTAACGTCAACCTGGACGAGCTGACGTCAGGTCAGGAGAAGAGGATGACTCTGGACGTGCAGGGAGGAGGGACGCTGAACGTCCGGCTGTACCTGAAGATGCACGACCAGCCCAAGGACGAGGTGGACGGAGACAAGCTCGTCAAACAGATCACCCTGCCGTTCCTGGCCCCGGTGTTCCAGAGCGAACTGGACGCCATCAGGAACGAGTTTACCAGCCTCATCACCTCGTTTTTGGGCCATGGTATATAAAGTCTTTATTTTCTTTTATCTAGTGAAAGCTACTTTACGCATGGCAACACAGGACACTAAACAAAGGTACGACGTATATATAGACGAGAAGTTAGGGTAGTTAGCAGCAAATGCATGTGCACAACACCTGCTCTCTAAGCAGAGGGTTGGGCTTCGGCTTATTTTTGACGTGTTATCCGACCATTATTATGTTATTATGTTATGTTATATTATGTTGAGCGTTTATCCTACTATCTTGTACTGGTACCTTCTTTTTGACAGCCTTCAGGTTGCAAATGGATGCTTCCCTGTCTAGCAGCCGCAAAAAGAGTATGTAAAGTGGCATAATCAAGGTTTTACATATGGCACCTGCCTATACGATGTAGTTCTTCGTTGTTTCTTACCGTGTTTTGTTGCTCCCCAGGTCAGAAGTACGAGCTGAGCTACATGACCCGTCTGCGGACCCACCCCGATGTACCCCTAGAGGAGATGCCGGCCGCCTGTGTTCCCATGCCGACTGGAGAGATGTTCACTCCGCTTAAAGCCGGGCGGCTCATGCAGCGCCTCATGGAGTTCATCAGCTCACAGGTTTGTAGACTCTTATGTATCCAATTGCCTTCCTCTTGTTAGCGGGTCCTTGGGGTCCCTAAGTAGAGAATCTGGGAATGGATGTTCCATGATTTTGGTAGGCAAGTTACTGTTGAGACCAGGGTCAAGTTTGAAAATAGGGGTTCCTCAGTTATACTGCAATGGACCTGTGTTTGTCGTTTTTCTTGTTTGATGCCGGAAACAGCTACAAGTTTGTGTATTATCCGCGTTCTACAACTGTATCATGAGTACTCTTTACAAACTAGCACTATATATACAGTGGACCGATGTATAGCTTTTATATGTGCAATGCAAACCTATTCCATACCTTTTATGAAAGGTATCATACATTACATGAAGGATAAAAATAAAGAATCGACGTGCACCCCAATCGACTTCTCCTTTGTAAAAATGTGTACAACTGATGTTATTTCTAGGCCCAGATCATGATCCGCCTGGCGCAAGTCAAGGGCATCTGGGACCCGTGGAAGGCCAACTTCAGCGGCTACCTGCCTGCTAACGAGAGGCTGATAGAAGAGTGGCAGAAAGACGAGGAGTTCTGCCGCCAGTATCTCCAGGGTAAGTATAGTATTTCTCACCAATACTTAATTCCGGGCCTTTCTGTCAGTACTCTATGTTCATGGTTTCTACGGTCATTTCTGTACCACGAATGTATCATTACCGGTAACAAATAATTCGCAGACTTTTTTTCTGCACCTGTCGCTACCCTGAACATATAATTCCGTGAACACCTGCATTTTCCCTATAGGCCATACCTTTTGGTACCGTTAACAGTGAGTGTCTAATATCATTGCCTCAATCTTGAAGAATCCCCCAGACCCTTTTTTTCTGGTAGACGATCTTTCCAACCTCTCCATTGTTTGCTCCGCGGGGGCATAGCACTTTAAGCACCGCAGACATAAGGACAACCATCGATGGTTGCACCATGCGTAACAATGCAGGGTAACAATGCATCGTTGATCTGATGTGTACACCTTCTTCCATCCAAACTTTCAGGCATCAATCCCATGCTGCTGACCGTGTGTAAAGACCAGAGTCAGATCCCTGCCGAGATGTTGGAGCTCAAGGCACAGGGCAAGACCACGGAACAGCTCATGGCCGAGAACAGGCTGTTCATCGTGGACTACGCGCCCATGCTCGGTGTTCCCGCTACCCCGGGCAAGTTCTTCTACGCTCCGATCGTACTGATGTACAAGGAGCAGGATGGCGCGAAATCTCGTCTCAATCTTCTAGGAATTCAGTTGTCAAGGAAGAAAGGTAGGGAATATTACTAACCCCTGACGGTGGCTTTGATATTTGTAACAACTACCCTTTGTGTATCCGATGTGAAATTTATTAAACGCCAAATTTCTGCTTGGAAATTTGGATGGAATTTAGGGTTAGGGTTGGAATTAGGCAAAAATTTGTACAGTTAATTTACGATTAGTTACACTTGGAGTTCGGTCATCGTTCGGGTTAGGACTTCTGAGTAGGGTTAGGGATAGGTTTAGTCTCCACATCACGAGTAAACCCTTGTCTAAGGCATATTGGAAACCCCCAAGTAGTGTCGGGGGCTGTTATTAGGCAGTGCAGATATTTAGCTAAACATATTGTTCAGTCATAAGGACGATGGTCCAACACAACGTGGTAGTGCACCCAAGTAGCTTAGACTTATTTTGGCTTCACATTGGCTTGTGGCAGAATCATTCACAGGAACCTAACATGTATGACGGATTCCTTCTTTTTCCTAGGTGAGAATGAGGTGTTTTCCCCTGAAAGTGCAAAGACTCATCCCAACAAGTACATGTTCGCCAAGATGCACGTAGTGTCCGCCGACAACAACGTGCACCAGTTCCTGTACCATCTGGGCTACACTCACCTCGCCATGGAGCCCATCGCAGTGTCACTGCACACCCACCTGCCCCCGGACCACCCCGTCCACCGCCTGCTGCTGCCGCACTTCAAGGACACCATCGGCATCAACTACCTGGCGCGCCACTCGCTCGTCTCCCGCATCTTCCCCATCACCGACCCGATGTTCGCTACTTCCACCGTGGGAGGGCTCGTCATGTTCCTCAAGGAGTGGCGCAAGTACAACTTCATGGACATGGCGTGAGTGTTGAGACTGTACTGAGTTCCGATGTTAAGCCCTTGAATCTGACACTCAGAACAAGCTTTTAAGCTCGGCAAATATTTACTATGCTGAGATACTCTTTAGCCTGATAGCTAGTCTTACAGGGTTCAGTTCAGATCACACAAAATAACGAACATACAACAAATTACAGGGTGAAGGGATGCACATAGTGGCACAAAATTAAATTTACATTGTCTGCAAAACGAAATGTTGACATTGTACATTTGAAATTGTACAGTTGTTACAGTTGACATTGTACATTTGTTAAAGCTATATCTTGTTCCGCCAAAAAGCAGTTACTCAAGCAACTGGATATGATTTTGAAAACGTCAGACGTTTCAGCTAGTATTCCACTTAGCTTTCGTCACTGTAACTGCTTTTTGGCGTATCGTATTACCTGGATGTCTAAACCTTCATCGACGTATATCTCGTTCATGTTTTTTAAGTTTCCCAGAAGAGCTGAAACGCCGTGGGTTTGATGAGGCTAAGACTGACGGACTGACGAACTACTTCTACCGGGATGACGGCTTCAAACTGTGGAACATCTACAAGACCTACGTGACTGGGATGGTCGACAAGGCGTACACCAGTGACAAGGCTGTAAAGGACGACCAAGGTGTGTTAGGCTACTAAATACTATGTTTTAATATTACTTGATTAGAGCATGCATTCACATTCAGCATCCGACATAATTTAGGCCCACTGATTATACTGTATGATCTTTAATCAAGAGTGCGCGGTATCTTGAAAGTATTTTTTACTTCCAATTTTGGCTGCAGTATTCAGAAAAAAGACTATTTGAGCTCGTGGTCTTCATTTTTGCTACAATGAACAATCTGTCTTTTTGTGTATTAGAGGTTTTTTCACATCTGCCATTTTGGATTAGTGTGTATGTCTGTTCAACATACCAACATATAACATGCTACTGCATGTACTGTATCAGTTTACCCACCAATTGGCCAACACCTTATCGAGAGTTGTAATTACTGTGGCGCCAATGAATAGCTCCTATACTTGCGTTTTAAGATCTGTTATCTTGTCTCTAATATAATCGACGAATCATCTTGAATATCTAACCCCTAACGAAATGTTGTTTTCCGTGGCTAGCTCTCCAGAAGTTCTGCCAGATGATAGAAGGTCCCGGACAGCTTCACGGATTTCCTCGCGAGATTTCGGACAAGAAGCTGCTGATCGACTGCCTGACCAATATCATCTTCAACGTGAGCGCGCAGCACTCCGCCATCAACTTCCCGCAGTACGACTACTACTCCTTCGTGCCCAACAGGTGAGGTTATCTATCATTTTCATAGCCTGGTAGCCAGTATAGCACGCTGTATTCGGGGCTTTTATAGTTTTCCCCCGTCCAGCTCAACTGGACGCACGGAAGTGTTACGCCAGTAGATGTCCTAATGTTAGAACAACTAAACGATTTAAAATATTTTTTGACAAGAACTAATAGATTGTACCCTATCAATAACTCGAAAACAGTTGAAAGCTAAGGCACCCAAACCTATTTCAGTGCAGCAAAACTGGATTTTCAACAATAATTTTCGTCGTGTAGTTAAGTGTATCAACCCTATGTCATAGCATACTGATGTCTGTGAGACCAAAACGTCTTTACATTTGTGTATATAGCCTTTTTACACTAAATCTAGGGTATGGTTACATGGCATGCGCATATGATGCTCTTTAGAGTGGTTTCGAAGTCATGAACAAAGTCATGAATGTATATTTACTGATACTGATGCTCATGCTGCAGCGCTGATGTTCTTTCGAATGGGCCCAAAAAGTCATGGGTTCAAAACTGTAGTATTGAATGTGTATCTTCCATCTTCAACCCCCCCCCCCCCAGGCCTGCCCAACTGTCGATGCCGATGCCTGACGGACCGAACGACATGACGGAGTCTGCTGTTCTCGAGGCGCTGCCGCCTCCACAGTTCACGGGACTGCAGGTCCTTCTGTCATACATGCTGTCCATGCCGTCACAGACTGCTATTACTGGGGTAAGCCTCCCTTGATACTTGATGCCCACACTAGTTTACTTTATCCGGCCACATCTACCTCTGTGGGGGCGTCGAGGGGAGGTGGAGAAGGCGGTTCTGGGCAAGTCCAGTAGCTTGCTGAGGTGTCAGGCTATGGGCGGTTAGTGTCTCCGTCACGCCGTCTATCCAGCGGCGGCGGGGTCTCCCTCTGGCCCTCCGGCCTGACCCTTGGATGTTGTAAGGCTCTGTGGGCTGATACGATACGATGCCCACACAGGCCATTCTTAATTCAAAATCGATCTGAAGGAATTTCAGAGGTGAAGATTAGACATCCAGATCCCGGTAGAGATATCAAATACCGGTAGAGATGCTAAATTAAGTCTCTCAACCCACAGGATAGATTGTCAAATTTGACATCTGAGAAGTATAGCATCCACTTCTTCTCGAGATGTTGTTAGTACTAAGGGGCCTAAGTGAGTTTTACAGACACCAACATGTGACTACCCGATGCATATGCCCACTGCTAGTGCATCTTTTCTTTGACCCTTATTGACGTTGATGTAATTTTCCAGGTTGAAGCCATGAAGGAGGTGTACCCCGAGGTCCATCAGAAGTTCAACACGCAGCTCAAGGAACTCTCCAAGGAGATCCAGACTCGTAACGACAAGCTGAAGACGGAAGGGAAGGCCGCCTACACCTACCTGGACCCTGAGAACGTCGCGATGAGCATCGACATCTAGACCCGGCAATGTTAAATGGACCAGAGTTTTCCTCAAATCTAAAATTGAACTACCAGATATTATATTTGCTGACTACCAGATGTTATATTTGCTGTAATACAAACTTATTATAATGTATTGCGGTCATGATTTTTGAACTACTAATGCTGCCTGCAACCGCCAGTCAAATGACTAATATTCTATTTGTCCACGACAGAGAATCAAATACAGATATTTATATAGCAATTGAAAGTACAAAATATAATATAATACTAGGCGCTCGTGAAATACTATGACGACCGGTGGGAGACTAAGCTGACAATATTTGGCCCATTTTCATGTACAAATATTTAATAGCCTACAGTAACTACTTGTATGATCGTCCTTTGTCCTAGAATCATTTGCAGTTTCAAACTGATATTCCATATGTAAAGTGGAGCAGAAATACTATATGGTCTTGTATATCAATATAATGCACGTTTTCAAGTTGCAACATGGCTCTGGAAGAATAAAGAATTGCATGTGAACTTTCGTGTTGCGAACTCATTTTAGGTCTGTAGGAATTTTAATCACGCGTGTGGCAAAGATGATCAACTTTAGTCTGAGAAAATTAAGTTTCAAAACTATCGATGGTGACAAAAGCATGAAGTAAGTGAAGGGGGGCTCTTTGAAAAGCTGAAAGGAGTTAATGCTATAACAATTCGATTATCTCGTCCCGGCTTTACATCCAGTCCAGACAATCTTTTTCCACTGTCTGAAGGTTCGATTATTGGGTATTTTCTTTTAAACAACAGCATTCTTTTGTCTTACCTTGCTTACGTTTCGAAGTCTATCGGACACCTTCTCCAGAGCTTCTGACTGGAGTTCTGCTTCTCGCCGCTATATGTAGCCGTAGTAGGGAGCGCTTTTGCATCAATAACACAATCCCAAACACGGCAAGTTTGTAAACTCAGCCATGTTTGGGATTGTGTTCTCGCCAAACAAAGCATACTGATGCCTCTTAAATCGTCATGGAAATAAAAAAAAACGACCAACCAGTTTTATTTCCACACACCAGTTTATTGATTCCAAGGCAAAGAGAACACAACAAAATGTTGAGGTTTTGTCAACGCAAGAGAAGGAACAAGATATTCTGCTCCAAGATGGCGAGCTGTTATGCGCCAAGTATTTATCAAATATTGCAGGTCGATTTGTTATATTCGACAATATAGCTATAACATCACCCACCTAAATGTATTGCTATGTATCTTGAATTATTATCTATCTTACCATGCATATCATAATGTCTACAACCCATCGCAAACTTTTGCTAAGGTTTTCTGCCTTCATTGAAACACCTTTTTTGTTAGTAACGTAATAATGTAAGCTATATCTCCCGTTGTTATTCTCTATCTCTCTCGGTGGTTGTTATTCTCTCTCCGTACGATCTGTTAGTCAGCTGGAAGGAACCCTTTAGATATCGATGCTCATAGCGACGTTCTCAGGGTCCAGGTAGGTGTAGGCGGCCTTCCCTTCCGTCTTCAGGCCTTCGTTACGAGTCTGGATCTCCTTGGAGAGTTCCTTGAGCTGCGTGTTGAACGTCTCATGGACCTCGGGGTACACCTCCTTCATAGCCTCAACCTTTACATGACACAGAAATTGATTATTTTTATTGTTTTTTATTGTGCAACATAGAAACGTACAGAACATAGTAATGGTTAACTCTAGCAGGTTGCTAATCTTAGCCCTACTACTAACAAAGAGGAGTACATACAATGGCAAATAATAATAACAAAACAGCAACACCAACAAGTAACAAAACAGCAAACAGGAAATGGGCGATATTTACAGAAAATGATTTTCTGTAAACATAAAGCAGCTTAGATTGCCTTAATATTAATGTACGGCGTAACAGTTAAGGACGAAATAAATAAATGCATTCAACGCCAAGGCATGTGAAAGATCAAACGAAAAGAGCATTGGACACTTATCACTTATATCTGCAACAAATCGTAGTGTCCTCATGAAATGTGTTAACAAATTCCTAAATTCTTTCAACCGTTATATCCCTAATATGGACATTAGCATTTTGCATGTGGCTAGGCCAGGAATGCGAATTTTTCGGTAATATGTTGATAAATCTTTTATATGCGATGGACATCATTATCAAATGTTTCATTAATGTGCAATCTTACCCCAGTGATGGCAGTCTGTGACGGCATAGACAGCATGTAGGACAGGAGAACCTGAAGAGCCGTGAACTGTGGAGGCGGCAGGGCCTCTAGAACAGCGGACTGCAGCATGTCGTTCGGTCCGTCAGGCATCGGCATCGACAGCTGGGCCGGCCTGGGGGTATAGTTAAAAACACGGAGTGTAAATGACAGTCTGTTGTAGTGTAGTCATCTTTTTGAGGTATCCATCCTTAAAATTCATATTTACCCGAACGTTACAAAGAATAATTGCGGTCAACAATTATTTGTTTTGCCTGAGGAATCTAGCCCTAGATCATTTAGAATTTAGCTTCCTTGATTGTGTCATGGCTTGAAAATGACAGCCTGGTGTCCAGTCCATCGTGGTAGAGACAGGTTCTCTTCGGGACTGGAGGAGCTCTTCGCCGCCCGACTCAGCTAGGTTCCCCGGTAGATTTTGCAAGACGGGAGCTCAATTAGCTCCACCTCGATCAACACTTGGCCTACAAAACTCTATTAGCAAAGCTCCTACAGGCGTAACACTCCCACCGGGCGGCCTGTTGAACTGGACGGGGGGAAAACTATTCGAGCCCCGAAGACAGCCTGCCTCAACCACGATAGACTGGATACGTACCAGGCTATGAAAATGACAGGTAACGTTCTCACCTGTTGGGCACGAAGGAGTAGAAGTCATACTGCGGGAAGTTGATGGCGGAGTGCTGTGCGCTCACGTTGAAGATGATGTTGGTCAGGCAGTCGATCAGCAGCTTCTTGTCCGAAATCTCGCGAGGAAATCCGTGAAGTTGTCCGGGACCTTCGATCATCTGGCAGAACTTCTGGAGAGCTATCCATGAGAAACAGCATTTCGTTAGAGGTTAGATATTCAAGATGATTCGTCGTTTATATTAGAGACAACATAACAGATCTTAAACGGAAGTATATAGAAGCTCTTCATCGGCGCCACAGTAATGACAATTCTCGGTTAAGGTGTTGGCCAATTGGCGGGTAAACTGATATAGTACATGCAGTAGCATGTTATATGTTGGTATGTTGAACAGACATACACACTAATCCAAAATGGCAGATGTGAAAAAACCTCTAATATACAAAAAGGCAGATTGTTAATTGTAGCAAAATTTGAAGACCACGAGCTCAAATAGGTCTTTTTTTTACTAAAAACAGCAGCCAAAATTGGAAGTAAAACAAAATTCAAGATACCGCGCACTCACTCTGATTAAAGAACATACAGTATACTTTGTGGTGAAGCCATAATCAGTGGGCCTAAATTATTTCGGTTGCCGAATGTGAATGCATGCTCTAATCAAGTAATATTAAAACATAGTATTTAGTAGCCTAACACACCTTGGTCGTCCTTAACAGCCTTGTCAGTGGTGTAGGCCCTGTCGACCATCCCAGTCACGTAAGTCTTGTAGATGTTCCACAGTTTGAAGCCGTCATCCCGGTAGAAGTAGTTCTCTAGTCCGTCAGTCTTAGCCTCATCAAAACCACGGCGTTTCAGCTCTTCTGGGAAACTTGAAAAAAATGAACAAGATATACGTCGATGAAGGTTTAGACATCCAGGTAATACGATACGCCAAAAAGCAGTTACAGTGACGAAAGCTAGTGGATACTAGCTGAAACGTCTGACGTTTTCAAAATCATATCCAGTTGCTTGAGTAACTGCTTTTTGGCGGAACAAGATATAGCTTTAACAAATGTACAATGTCAACTGTAACAATTGTACAATTTCAAATGTACAATGTCAACATTTCGTTTTGTAGATAATATAAATTTAATTCTGTGCCACTATGTGCATCCGTTTACCATTTAATTTGTTGTATGTTATTTTGTGTGATCTGAACTGAACCCTGTAAGACTAGCTATCAGGCTAAAGAGTATCTCAGCATAGTAAATATTTGCCGAGCTTAAAAGCTTGTTCTGAGTGTCAGATTCAAGGGCTTAACATCGGAACTCAGTACAATTTCAACACTCACGCCATGTCCATGAAGTTGTACTTGCGCCACTCCTTGAGGAACATGACGAGCCCTCCCACGGTGGAAGTAGCGAACATCGGGTCGGTGATGGGGAAGATGCGGGAGACGAGCGAGTGGCGCGCCAGGTAGTTGATGCCGATGGTGTCCTTGAAGTGCGGTAGCAGCAGGCGGTGGACGGGGTGGTCCGGGGGCAGGTGGGTGTGCAGGGACACTGCGATGGGCTCCATGGCGAGGTGAGTGTAGCCCAGGTGGTACAGGAACTGGTGCACGTTGTTGTCTGCCGACACCACGTGCATTTTGGCGAACATGTACTTGTTGGGATGAGTCTTGGCAGTTTCTGGGGAAAACACCTCATTCTCACCTAGGAAAAAGAACAAGGAAGCCGTAATACATGTTAGATTCCTGTGAAATGATTATGCCACAACCCAATGTGAATCCTGTTAATGATTATGCCACAACCCAATGTGAAACCATATATCTGCCCTGCCAAATACTGTCCCCGACGCTACTTGGGGGTTTGAATTACAAGGTAGCAAAGGGACTGGTCGTGATGTTGAGACTAAACCTATCCTTAACCATACTCCTAAGTCCTAGCACGAACGATAAGACCAAATCAACTAATCCTAATAAACTTTATATGGTTTTGTCCAATACCAACCCTAACCTTAAGTTCCAGCGAAATTTTCAGGCAGAAATTTCTTGTTGCATAAATTTCACATCGGATACACAAAAAGGTATTTGTTAAAAATGCCATACCCACAAACAAGGGTGTGTAATATTCCCTACCTTTCTTCCTTGACAACTGGATTCCTAGAAGGTTGAGACGAGATTTCGCGCCATCCTGCTCCTTGTACAACAGAACGATCGGAGCGTAGAAGAACTTGCCCGGGGTAGCGGGAACACCGAGCATGGGCGCGTAGTCCACGATGAACAGCCTGTTCTCGTTCATGAGCTGTTCCGTGGTCTTGCCCTGTGCCTTGAGCTCCAACATCTCGGCAGGGATCTGACTCTGGTCTTTACACACGGTCAACAGCATGGGGTTGATGCCTGAAATTTCGGATGAAAGAACATGAACATGTCAGATCGACGATGCGCTATCACACATGGTGGTCAAACCATCGTTGGTTCCTCTTTTATGTCTACGGTGCCGAAAGTGTTGTGCGCCCGCCCAGCAAACACTGGAAAGGCTAGAAAAATCGTCTGCCAGAAGGAAGGGTCTGGAGCAAAAAAATGTCCAAGCCGACCCGAAGAGAATGGGGTATGGTTTCAAGATTGAGAATGGTATTACATCTGTGATCACGGTAGTAAAATTACACAATGGAAAAACGGCAGGTTTCTCGGAACTATGTAGCGCCAAGTGCGCCAAGTGCAGAAAAAAAGTCTGCGAATTATTTGTTCACGGTAATAAGTTCGCGGTACAGAATTGACCGCGGAAACCATGTACAAGTACGTCGTCGTCATAAACAAGTACCGTGAAAAACAAAGGCCCGGAATTACAGCATACGAGTGTATTGGTGAAAAATACTATACTTACCCTGTAGATACTGGCGGCAGAACTCCTCGTCTTTCTGCCACTCTTCTATCAGCCTCTCGTTAGCAGGAAGGTAGCCGCTGAAGTTGGCCTTCCACGGGTCCCAGATGCCCTTGACTTGCGCCAGGCGGATCATGATCTGGGCCTAGAAATAACGAGCAGTTGTATACATTTTTACAAAGGAGAAGTCGATTGGGGTGCACGTCGATTCTTTATTTTCAACCTTCTTGTAATGTATGAACCTTTCATAAAAAGGTATGGTATGGGTTTGCATTGCACATATAAAAGCTATACATCGGTCCACTGTATAGTGCTAGTCTTTACACGATGCAGTTGTAGAACGTGGATAATACACAAACTTGTAGCTGTTTCCAGCATCAAAAAAAAAAACGACGAACACAAAAAGGTCCATTGCAGTATAACTGAGGAACCCCTATTTTCGAACTTGACCTTGCTCTCCTCAACAGTAACTTGCCTACCAAAATCATGGAACATCCATTCCCAGATTCTCTACTCATCCTGCTAACAAGAGGAAGGCAATTGGAAACAGAAGATTCTATGAACCTGTGAGCTGATGAACTCCATGAGGCGCTGCATGAGCCGCCCGGCTTTAAGCGGAGTGAACATCTCGCCAATCGGCATGGGAACACAGGCGGCGGGCATCTCCTCTAGGGGTACATCGGGGTGGGTCCGCAGACGGGTCATGTAGCTCAGCTCGTACTTCTGGCCTGGGGAGCAACAAAACACGGTAAGAAACAACGCAGAACTACATCGTATAGGCAGGTGCCATATGTAAAACCTTGATTATGCCTCTTTATATACTCTTTTTGGGGCTGCTAGACAGGGAAGCATCCATTTGCAACCTGAAGGCTGTCAAAAAGAAGATACCAGTACAAGAAAGATAGTAGGATAAACCCTCAACACGTCAAAAATAAGCCGACGCCCAACCCTCTTCTTAGAGAGCAGGTGTTTACATGCATTTGCTGCTAACTACCCAACTTCTCGTCTATATATACGTCGTACCTTTGTTTAGTGTCCTATGTTGCCATGCGTAAAGTAGCTTTCACTAGATAAAGAAAATAAAGACTTTATATACCATGGCCCAAAAACGAGGTGATGAGGCTGGTAAACTCGTTCCTGATGGCGTCCAGTTCGCTCTGGAACACCGGGGCCAGGAACGGCAGAGTGATCTGTTTGACGAGCTTGTCTCCGTCCACCTCGTCCTTGGGCTGGTCATGCATCTTCAGGTACAGCCTGACGTTCAGCGTCCCTCCTCCCTGCACGTCCAGAGTCATCCTCTTCTCCTGACCTGACGTCAGCTCGTCCAGGTTGACGTTAGCTGTTCCCATGATGTCGTCCTGTCCGACCGTGTCTCGGTCCCTGTAGACATCGGATGTGGAATTAGAGATGATCAGACAGATTAACTACTTCATTATGTTTACCGAAGGAAAACATTGTTTTTACTACGTTTTACTTCTTCTGTTCCAAATACTGACCTCTGACCTGGCCAATGGCCTAACTTGTTGGTGTCTGTCACCATGGTGTTGGGTTACATCATGTTGCAATTTTATAGGAGGGATTTAGACTCTTGTCAGACCATATATTATATGAATGCACATGTATTTGAGTAAG